GATGATGGTGGGGACAGCAACGGTGATAAGTTGACGACGGTTGCCTAAGGGCCAGGAAATCGCAGCAAGTGGCAGGTTGCAGGGTAGTGGTAGCGACAGGCAGCAGCAGCAACCCCACAGTGGTGGCAGTGGCAGCAGGCGTAGGCAAGTGGAGAGCAACAGCCGTCAAAAGGGGGATGGAAGCCGCGGGAAGAGGGAGGATGGAGGCAAGGGCGGCAGCAAAGGCGGGACTGGATCTCGAAAGAAGAGGCAGGAAAAGGACGGGGGAGCAAAGGAAGGAGATGGACGTGGATTGGAGTGGTCTGGTGCGTTTGATATTGACAAGCCGGGAGAATCAGCGGTGCGCATCAGGCACAGGCGCAAGAAGGGCAAGTATGCCATCCTCTCCATGATTGACGTCTCGCTCAACGGCGCGTCTGCGCTCGTCACGTTTGACACCTGCAGCTCCAAGCACAAGCCCCCGCCCTATCGGTACGTGCCATGGCGCCCTCGTTTCCCACACTGCTTCCTTGCATTGTGCATGCCCATTGACCTTTTGCTTGCGGGCTTTGGATTTAGGTCCTCCGTTTGGATCTGGGGGTCTCCTGGTCTGGTCACACGGTGCCTGCAGAATGACACTTCCTTGCGTCTGGGTTCATGCACAATCTAGTTCCCGTGTGACCGTATCGTCGCGCGACTCATTCCCTGCGTAATGTGTCGCCTCTGCTCATCCCCATTCCCATGGCGTGGCAGCATTGAGAACCACTCGGCCTTCATGAGCATCAAGTACGGGCAGCTCACCACCCCCACACGGCAAAGGCTGCCCCCCAACCGCTCCACAACTACGCTTGGGACCAGGTGTGATCCCTCAGATGCCGTAAGGGGAAGTGAGAGCTGCTGATGTTTTACTGGTATAACCACTTTGGTTGGTTGGAGCCCATACACCACATCCGCTTTTTATCAGGCAGATGCTGTCTTCTGGATAGGTGAAGTGTCAATCCCGCACCTCTCATCCTGACAGTAATTCACCAGCAGCCTCCTTTCCTGTTCATCTGGGATTCAGAAATTCCATTGACCAGCGCCCCTCCGTTCCCACCCTCCCCACATGCACACCCCCCTTTTTCCCTCCCTCTTCTCCTCTCCGCCACCCTTCCTCCTGCCAGCCGCGCATGGCCCAGCTGCTGCAGGTGGAGATCGAGGGGTTTGGTGTGACCCGTGAGTACGACCTGGACGGCATCCGCGAGCTGCCCACCATCATCCTCTCTGAAGACGACTTCACCGGCAATGCATCGCTGAGGGACAGGTACTCTAGGTCTGGGAAGGAACAGCAAGGAACTGGGGGCTGGGGGTAGAGAATGGTGAAGGTGGAGGGTGAAGCTGCCCACTATCATCCTCTCCGAGGACGATTTCACCGGCAACGCATCGCTCAGAGACAGGTAGGTCTGCGGGTGAAGTGATAGCTTCTAAGGAGGAACAGCAAGGAACTGGGTGGGAGTACAACCTGGACGGCATCCGCGAGCTGACCACCATCATCCTCTCGGAGGACGACTTCACTGGCAACGCATCGCTGAAAGACAGGTACAACAATTGTTCTGGGAAGGAACAGCAAGGACCTGGGGGCCGGGGGGAGAGAATGGTGGGAGAGGGAGGGGGGGGGAAGCTGCCCACCATCATCCTCTCTGAAGACGACTTCACTGGCAACGCATCGCTGAGAGACAGGTAAGTCTGCCGGTGAAGTGAAACGAAGTGGTGAGGAGGAAAGGGTAAGGGACTGCCATTTTCAGTCAAACCGACCCTTTTCCATCCCCCCTTCTCACCCTTCCAACTCACCTTTACTTCCCTTCGCCCCGCTCCTGTTCCTTGCCCCATCTCGCCCCACAGGATGTTTGTGATGGTGGGGACGCAGGCTCGAGCGGTGGCAGCGCTGTACGTGAACGTGTATGCAGACGGGGCCACCAGAGTGCTCTCCTTCTCCGATACCAAACACACCTCCAAGTGAGCCCCTTCATACTATTGACTCTGCGTGTGACCGACTTCGCTGTGTCCCTTTTCCACCACCCAATCAAAGACATGCTTTCTCTGTCTTTCTGGGTCGTCTGTGAGCCCGTTCCTGTGTATCTGCTCGCGCTGCGTGCAGGGTGTCGGAGGTGGACGGGTTTTGAAGCGTCTAAAAACATCATTCTGAGGCGTCTGTAGGCGCCTAGATGATTTTTAATGTGTATCCGCCCGCACTGCGTGCAGGGTGTCGGAGGAGGACGAGCGCACCACGCTTCAGGAGAAGCTGCAGGTTACGAGCGAGCGAATCGACTTCGCCCGCAAGGTGCTTCAGCGCACTGTGCTCTCGCAGGAGAATCCCCACTGGATGCTTCGGAGGCAAAGGTGAGCCAGTCTAGGCAAAGGTGAGGCAGTCTATGCGAAGGTGAGGCAGTATATGCGAAGGTGAGGCAGTCTATGCGAAGGTGAGGCAGTCTATGCGAAGGTGAGGCAGTCTATGCGAAGGTGAGGCAGTATGCGGGGGTGAGGCAGTCTATGCGAAGGTAGAGGCAAGTCTTATGCGGGTTTGTGGGTAGGTTGACGTGATTGTGCTAGTAGGGCGCTGAGCCTTGTGTGCAGAAAATGGAAGTGTGGTATTTCAAGAGTTTACAACCTGTCCTGTTAATGTGGTTTGGAATTTCGATTAACACCCATCATTATAACCTGTGATTGTCACCACCCATTTCTGTGGTTGTCTGGTCACGGTGCAGCCATCATACATGGAGACTCCCGAGTACAGTGCAGCCATGGCCAGCTTCGCACCCAACCACCACCCCCTCCGTGCGCTCTACTAGCAGCAGCTCCTCTGCTCGCAGCAACAGGCACCTCCGTCGCAGCAGTAGCGACACTCCCTGTCGCCTCTACAAGCAGGAACCCCTCTGCTTCCGTCGTAGCTGCCACTGCCACTGGCAGTGTGAAGGAGCAGATTCTTTTCCAGAGAAAATTCAGAGGGCTCCTCCCCTCGCACTCCCCCAGAGACCTTCCGCGTGTTTTACTGCAGTAGTTCCGAGCCTTCTCCTGCCATTCAAGCCGCTGGTGATCCAGATCCGGTCACCACACCGCCCAGGAGCCCCCTCCAGAGAAGCTTTGCCCTTTCCTCCATTGCAGCTGCTGCACTACTGCCAAAGAGGCCCGGGCTTCAGGCCTCGCTAACAGCAGAACTGTGAGTGACTGCTCTGATGCCTCTGCTGAGCACGTGAAGTCACATCCAGGCAAGGCAGGACTCCGTAGGAGTAGGAGTCAAGAGGCAGCGGTGTTGCAAGCAGGGAAGGGTGAGCTATCTGCCAAAGGAGAGGGAAAGGCAGAGAAAGGAAAGGGTGTAGCGAAGGAGGATTCAGGAGGTTCGGAAGTGGTGGGAAAGGGTGGTAAAGGGGAAGGGAGCGGCGAGGAGACCCATGCAGAAGGCAGCAACTCACATTCTCAAGAAGCACCCAGAGAATTCGGTCTTTCACGCCCTGAAGTGACCAAGGCAGGGGCAGGAAGCAGTGCCAGTTCTGGGGAGTATGCAGGCAGGGCAGCAAGGCTGAAGGGCAGCAGGCGCTTGACTATTTGTACCTTCCTGCAAGCGCGGCCGCCGTGCCTGAGTACCCGATGAGGTCTGGTTGAGGCACACGGCGTATGGCGTGCAGGCAGGAGTGCTGGTCGTGAAGGCCAGGGATGGGGGTGCTGGGAAGGGGTGGGGGAGGTGGCAGAGGAGTAGTGTGAAAGAAAATGTAGGGCCATGCGTCGGAGCTGTCAAGTCATCAGCTGCTGAAATACCAGCAGAGATGATTGTGGAAGGTGCCAGGTATGTTAGGATCCGCAGCAGCAGAGGCGAAATGGATGTTGAAATCAGCAGTGAAGGTGCTGTCAAAGGAGGAAAGCGGATGGGGCAGCAGCTGCAGAAGCAGAGGAAGGGTGAGTCAGGGGGAAGGGACTAAGGAGGCAGATACACCAGAAGCAGCAGATGCAGCAGCACGTGTAGACGCCTCAACTGCATCTGGAGAATCACAGGTGCCTCAGCTTCAGCCGCTTACAGTTGGAGGGCTAGCTGAGTCTGACACCTGCGCATCTGCTGCTGCTTCTCCTGGCGCATCTGCTGCTGCTTCTCCTGGCTCATCTGCCCTGCTGCCCCTGGCGCATCTGTTATTGCTGCATCTGCTACTGCTGGTCCTGGGGCATCTGCCACTGCTGTTCCTGGCGCATCTGCTGCTGCTGCCCCTGGCGCATCTGCTACCGCTGGTCCTGGCGCATTCTGCCACTGCTGCCATTGTGTCAGGTGATGGTGATGCTCCGATCGGTGCTGGAGGGGGCCGTGGCAAAGAGTTAAACAGCGATTGACGTTCAGGGTTCAGGCAAGGGAAGGAAAAAATCACAGGTGCCAGAGTCGAAACAAGATGAGAGCGATGGTGAAGACATGAAGAGTGGGTATGGTGGCGGGGGGGAGGAGAGGAAGCCAGAGAGCCGTGTGCAAGGGCCAGTGGCGAGGAGAATCACCAAGGACTTGAGAACGGATGAGGTTTCTGAGAAGGCAGGGAGCCTTTCCCGTGTGAGGGAAGAATCAGAGGAGGAGTTGAATGAGGGAGGAGAGGAAGGAGTGGAGCAGGCAGCCTGCAGTGATGCAGGTAGAGAACAGAGTGCGAGTCATGGATGCTGGGCGTGACTGATAGTGATGCTGGGAGAGGCGATGGTGACGAGGCAAGGGGAGCAGAGAAGGAGGAGAGCGTATGCATGGTAGACGCTGGGGTCGAAGGACAGACAAGTGGAGCGCAGAGGGAAGAGGGGCAGGGTGGGCAGACGCGGCAGTGGAACAGGGCCAAGGGGAGGAAGCTGAGAGCAGGAGCGGAGAGACGGAGGGGGTTGGAGGAGGAGGAGGAGGAGAAGGAGGAGGAAGTGAGAGAGTGGAAGCGCCTGTGTCTGCATCTCTCCTTGTTCCTCGCTGGCTGCTGCTCGCTTTGTCCTGGGGTTGAAGAGAGGCAGGCTCGTCGTACAGGTGGCGCCAGTGAAGGAGAGCGAGGTTCTGAAATACAGCAGTTGCATCCTGCTGCTCATGCTACCTCTGGTGATGCTGCTGCTGCTGGTAGCGCTGCTGCAACAGACGAGGGCACGTGTTGATGCTGAGGCGCAGTCCCATCCTGCTGCTGATTCTGCATCCAGTTCTGCGGCTGCTGCTGGTAGTGCGGGCTGCTGCAGGCGGCGCTGCGTCTGCAGCTGTTGCAGAGAGTGGTGATGCGGATGCTAGCTCATCTGGTTCTTGTACTGCCACTGGTTTCCGATGAAGGGCGTGCACGGGGAGATGCTGCTGGTGGCGCTGAGGGGGATGCTGATGTCACGGACTCTCATGCTGATGTCACGGACTCTCATGCTGATGTCACGGACTCTCATGCTGATGCCCATCCCAGTCAGCATTCGGATACTAACACACACGGAGCAGCGGGTTCAGAAAGTGTGCCTGCCTCAACCGCTGCCAAGGCTATTGCTGGTCAGGTCAATCCTAGTGATGGCAGTACCACTGCCTCTGCCTCCGTCCCAGCCGCAGCTGCTGCCACTGAGCCTGTTGTAGTCACTGCTGGTGGAGCTGCCACTGCTTCACCCACTGTAGCGACAGGTGCTACTGCCACTGCACCCCCTGTAGAGACAGGTGCTGCTGCCACCTGCGGCCCCTGGATCTACTGCTGGGTGCCGCCACAGGTAACAGCAGATCGACAGGAAGCAGGCTCAAGTCCAGCAGCAGCTTCAAAGTGTCATTGAGAGCAGCCGCTGCACGAATCATAAAGCCTGCGGCTCCCAAACCCAACAGACCTAGATTCTCGGAGGTGGTTGCTGGTGCCGGTGGCTCGATCTGCTGCCCCGGTCGGTGCTTCTGTGCCTGATACCTCTGTTCCGGATGCCCCTGTTCCTGCACCTGCTTACTGCTGCTCCTGGTGATCCCGTGTTGCCAGCGGCAGCAAAAACAGAACCCACTATTCACCTGGATTCTCTCTCCTCCTTCCCCCCTCTCAATTGCAACCGTATCCAAGCCACTCCCCTCAGCGCGCCAACAGCAGACCCCAACACTCGTGGTGCTGCTGCTGCCCTCCCTCTCACCCTCCAGCTGCAGCCTTGGCGAATCAAGCAGTGGTGGCAAATCCAGTGATAATCTCTCTGCAAATATTGCCAGCGATGCTGCCAAAGTTTCCACTGTCGCTGCTGCTGCGCCGCCCGCCTGCTGCTGCTCCTGGTGATCCCGTGTTGCTAGAAACCGCGGCAGCCAAAACAGAGCCAGCCATTCACCTGGATTCTCTCTCCTCCTTTCCCCCCCTCAATCGTGATCGTGACCAAGCCACTCCCCTCAGCACGCCAACAGTAGACCCCAACACTCGTAGTGCTGCTGCTGCCTCCCTCTCACCCTCCAGCCGCAGCCTTGGCGAGTCAAGCAGTGGTGGCAAGAACAGCGATAAACTCTCTGCAAATGTTGACAAAGCTTCCACTGTCGCTGCTGCTGCCGCCGCTGCTACTGCTGGTTCTGCTGGCACTTCTGGCACTGCTGCTGGTACTGGCACTGCGGCTGCTGCTGCTGCTGCTGCAGGTGCAGGTGCTTCTGTTGATGCGGCCACAACTGCAACTGTTGATGCAGACTCAACTGCTTCTGTGTCTGCCCCTGCAAGTGCCCCTCTCGCTCCTGCTGCAGCCTCTGCTGGCTCTGGTACCAGCAGACCACAGCAGCAGTGACCTGCAGTTGCCTGTGAATGTCCAGCCTTCTGAGTCAGCAGAGTTGGAACACCACAGGTCGCACTCAACTGAAGTTGCTCCAGCACTGGCAGACGTAGCAACAGGAGGCGCAGCTGGCGAAGCAGCAGCATCTGAAACACCAGCTGTTGATGATCCGCCTTCAAACAGCTTCCAGCCATCTCCTGAACTTGATGCAAGGCCTACCCGAGGCCGCGTGACTTGGAAAGGTGTTGTGGGCCAGGTTGGTGTTGGCGCCACTGCTGCCGTGGTCAACACAGGGAAGAGAGTGACAGGAGCGGCATCAGCTTTGCATTCCGCTGCAGCTGCTTTCCTCGATGGCACTTCAGAGAAAGTTCAGGAGAAGTTTCACGAGGCCCAGGAGGCGTTTGAGGAGGCAGAGGAGAGGGCGGGGGAGTGGCGGGCTGATGAGGGGTTTAAAAGCGCAAGTGGGGGGCGATGAGGACAGTGCGCTCTATGGAGTCATTTTTCGGGAGACAGGCGGACAAGCTGATGGAGGCCACACACGTTCCTGACATAATTAAATCTGCAACAGCTGCAGAGCTCCGGGCACACTGGCCCCATGACAGCTTCAGGTTGCCGTCGTCGAGAAGCGAGGGAGGAGAGATGGGTCAGCGACGGGGAAGGGAATGAGTTGATGCCCGTGCCCACGCTTGAAGAGCTTCAGAGCATGGCGGGGGCGGTAGCAGCTGCTGAGTTGGAGTTTATCGGGCGGAATAGGCCGACTGGATTGGTCAAGAGCGCGAGTGTTGCCGCAGGGCAGATGGCAGCAGTAGCGAGGCGAGGCCAGGATGTGGTGGCGAAGGCAGGATCCATGGTCAAGGGAGCAGTTGGGAGCGCCCTCGCTGCCGGCTCGGAGGCGGCTGTAGCAGAGGGTAAGGCCTTAAGGGCCGGGGCGTCTGTAGCGCTGAGTGTTATGGGCGGGAGGCTGGGGGAGATCAAGGAACACGCTGATCAGGACTTGCAAGTGAGCCTCGCGGACTGGCGGAGACGAATGCAGGAGGCGGGATAGGGGTGGAGGAGGAGGAAGACATCAGTGAGTTGCGGCAGGAGCGGATCCAGCTGGGCAACGAGGAGTACGACGCAGGGGCGATCGTGGGAGGCGACGTGACGGTTCACGTGATTAAAGCCATGGATCTGGGGCTCCGGCCGGAGAAGACGCATCCGTACGCGGTGGTGCAGGTGGAGGGGCGGCGGCTGCGGTCGTCAGTGTGCAAGGGCACGGTGTGTCCGCAGTGGGACGAGCTGCTGGTGTTCAAAGGCGTGTCTACCGCCTCCAGCATGGCTATCTCCATCTTCAGCAGCGAAACCATCGGCTCACACAAGTTCCTCGGCCAGGTGAGCCGTGGGGTCGGTGTGCAAGGGGTCAGTGTGCAAGGGCACAGTGTGTCCGCAGTGGGACGAGCTGCTGGTGTTCAAAGGCGTGTCTACCGCCTCCAGCATGGCTATCTCCATCTTCAGCAGCGAAACCATCGGCTCACACAAGTTCCTCGGCCAGGTGAGCCGTGGAACAGTTTGCCTTGCTCGCCCTTGGTTCACTCACAGTAGCTCCGCGAATTGTTCTTGGTGCGTCCGGTCCGGTGTGTCAGTTTTTGATCAAAATCGTTTCCTCCTGCTTCTTTGATATGCTACCCCCACCACGCTGCTCCGCTGTGCCGCTGCTCTCCCCCCAGGTGGTGCTGCCGCTGGTGGACGGCAGGGCTCTGAACCGCGAGCCCGGGTGGCACAAGCTGAGTCGGCGCACGGCACATGAGACGGTGACAGGCAGGGTGTTCCTGTCCACGTCTTGGGACGCCACAGAGCTCGAGCTCATGGCGCTGCAGGTGGGTCAGTTGTGCGTGCATTGTTGCACGTGTGGTGCCTTGTGTTGTATGCATGTGTGGTGGCTTTCACGTGCACACGAGACGGTGACAGTCAGGCAGGGTGTTCTTGTCCACATCGTGGGACGCCACCGAGCTCGAGCTCATGGCGCTGCAGGTGGGTCAGTTGTGCGTGCATGGCTGCACGTGAGGTGCCTTGTGTTGTATGCATGTGTGGTGGCTTTCACGTGCACACGAGACGGTGACAGTCAGGCAGGGTGTTCCTGTCCACGTCTTGGGATGCAACAGAGCTCGAGCTCATGGCGCTGCAGGTGGGTGGGTCCTTTGCGCGTGCACGGCTGCTTGTGTAGATTATTGAGTTGACTAGAAAAAAAGAGGCTGGGGTGGCACACCTCCCGAACTCACACCTTTGCCTGAACGCACTGGAGGGTGCTTCCTTCCATCATTCACTCCCTTCCTCTCCTTCTGCCCACTGCCTTTGCCTGTGCGCCCATTGCCTTTGCCCCTGCAGCTGCGTGCCAAGGAAGCGGAGCTGGACGCACTGGAGCAGCGACTGGCGCAGGAGAGGGAGGCACGTTAGAGGCGCAGAGAGCGCACCTCCCCTCCCCCCATCATTCCCTGCTTCTCCGTTTGCCTCTTGCGTGTCCCTGTGCCCGTTCACCCCTGCAGCTGCGTGCCAAGGAAGCGGAGCTGGACGCGTTGGAAGAGCGGCTGGCGCAGGAGAGGGAGGCGAGGCCCAGGGAGGCCGTCATGGCAGCAGAGACCCTCGCCAACCCGCACCCACTGCAGCCCCACACGCCCTCCTCGGCCCTGCGCACGCCCACGGGGGGCCCCATGCTGCGCCGCATGTTCACCCTCAGGGGCCCTGGGGGGATGGGTGCAGCGGCTGCCTCGTCCGTGTCGCCTGCTGTGGTGCAGCAGCATGCCGCTAAGGGGCAGCTCAAGGTGAGAGAGGGGAGGGGAGGCTGGGGGAGAGGGAAGCGGGCCTATGCTGCGCCGCATGTTCACTCTCAGGGGCCCTGGGGTGATGGGTGCGGCTGCCTCTTCCGTGTCGCCTGCTGTGGTGCAGCAGCATGCCGCTAAGGGGCAGCTCAAGGTGAGAGAGGGGAGGGGAGGCTGGGGGAGAGGGAAGCGGGCCTATGCTGCGCCGCATGTTCACTCTCAGGGGCCCTGGGGTGATGGGTGCGGCTGCCTCTTCCGTGTCGCCTGCTGTGGTGCAGCAGCATGCCGCTAAGGGGCAGCTCAAGGTGAGAGAGGGGAGGGGAGGCTGGGGGAGAGGGAAGCGGGCCTATGCTGCGCCGCATGTTCACTCTCAGGGGCCCTGGGGTGATGGGTGCGGCTGCCTCTTCCGTGTCGCCTGCTGTGGTGCAGCAGCATGCCGCTAAGGGGCAGCTCAAGGTGAGAGAGGGGAGGGGAGGCTGGGGGAGAGGGAAGCGGGCCTATGCTGCGCCGCATGTTCACTCTCAGGGGCCCTGGGGTGATGGGTGCGGCTGCCTCTTCCGTGTCGCCTGCTGTGGTGCAGCAGCATGCCGCTAAGGGGCAGCTCAAGGTGAGTGTTGGAGGGAGGGAGAGGGCGGCGGGCCCATGCTGTGCCACATGTTCACACTGCAGGGCCATGTGCAGGGGATGGCTGGGGGCGCCTCTTCAGTGTCGTGCAGCAGCATGCCGCTAAGGGGCAGATCAAGGTGAGAGAGGGGGGACAGAGGGATGCGTAAGGATAAGGGGTCTTCTTGTATAGACACTACCTTCCGGACCTGCCTCTCCTGCTTCTTTTCCTGCCTGGGTCCTGGCAGAGCCAGCTGAGTGGCTGCACTGCTTGTATTTGGTTCCATACTTACTCTCACCACATTACTCACCCTCTTTTCTCATGTGGCCATCTGCAGGTGAAGGTGGTGGAGGCAAGGCACCTGGCAGTGCCAGCAGAGTGGCTGCGCTCGGCGTGTTTGGATCTTCTCTTCCCTTGCTTTACTCACCCCTCTACTCACTCTCCGCTCACCCTGCTCCTCCGTCCTCCCATGTGCAGGTGAAGGTGGTGGAGGCGAGGCACCTGGCAGTGCCAGCGGAGTGGCTGCGCTCAGTCTGTTTAAATCCCTCCTAAACACCATCTCTGTTTTACCCACCACTCTACTTACCTCCCTCCACGCACCCCTCTCTTGTCTGCAGGTGAAGGTGGTGGAGGCAAGGCATCTGGCAGTGCCAGCGGAGTGGCTGCGCTCGGTGCACCGGATGCGTGCCTTTGCTGCGCTCTCCGTGGTGTCCCCCTCGGGCACCAGCACGCTCCCTGTGAAGACGCGCGTCATCAACGGCACCTTCTTCCCAAAGTGGAACGAAACGTTCTCCATCAACGATGCTGCTCTCGCCTCCTCGCTGCGCGTGCAGGTATGGCTTGAGTCAGGTGGTTCTCATTCAGGTGTAGGCTGGTTCAGGGGGAACTGGTGCAGGTTTGACCTGGGTCAGGTGGTGCAGAGTAGTGCAAGCAGTCCACAGATTGGTTCAGCTGGGGCCGGACTCGTGTCACTGCTTGAACGCCTTGACATATTGGTTGCAATCAGATGTTTGCTTGTTTCGCTAGCGAATTAAGTCGGCCTCATTTCTTCTCAAGTCTGTCCTTTCCGAAACCCCCCTAGGCTGTTCCTCCATGCCTTCACGGTTCCCTTGCCTTCCCAATGCTCACCCCTCCTTTTGTACCATTGCTCCTGCTAATCACCCGTTTTCGTCTCACCCGTCTGGTGGCCACGCCCCGCATCCCCTACAGGTGTTTGACAAGCCAAAGCTGGGCAGCCCGAACCTCCTGGGCGAAGCTACAGTGGACGTCACCACCTTCAAGGTGTGGCTAGACACAGACAGACAGACAGGATGCAGATGATGAGAGATTCCGATTCGAATCGATCACTGATTTGAAGGTCATACCAACCCAATCTGTGCATGAATTTGAAAGCCAAGCCAAAGCCACATGGCTGAGAGTCATAGCATGTTCTCCATGCCTCGCCCGTTGCTCACATTTACGAGCAGCTTGTCTCGCCCCATGCTTTCCTCTGCTCTATTTCAATCTACTCTTTGCTATTCTTTGCTTTGTCCCAGGACGGGCTGCCACAGTACATGCTGCTGACTCTCAAGCGAAGTGCTGGGAAAGAAGGGGTGCGTATCTGCCTGTTCCTGCCTCCGTTTTCCTTTTTCCCCACTTTCCTTGTGAGGCCATTATTCCCTCCTGGCCTCCTCTTCACCTCCACCCACTATTTCCTCCTCTCTTCCCGTCCCTGGTCCTTGGCTGCTCGTACCATGTGCTTGCCATTTTGACGCATCCCCTCCCAACCTCCGCTTCACCTCCACCCACTATTTCCTCCTCTCTTCCCGTCCCTGGTCCTTGACTGCCCATACCCTGCACCTTGTGCCGACCTCCTGCCGCCCTTCCTTTCCTTCACCTGCAGGAGCAGGAGGCAGTGGGCGGCAGCATTCGTCTTCGAGTGCACTGGATGGTGGACCATGGGAAGAAGGCAGAGGAGAAGACGGGAGTCAATTTTATGGTAAGATGGAAACTTTTCACACTCTATGTCGGTCTACTCGCTGCGTCCCTGTCCTCATTTCATCCCGCTTTTGGACACCACTTCTTTCATTCCTTGCCTCTGTTCAAAGCCGTCTTTCTCCCCAATCTCTTCCTCACCAGCCTCTCCCCTGTTGGACCAGCAAAAGCTCCATCCATCCCTGCCCATTGCCCCACACTTCTTCACCTTCTTGCCTCGCTTCCCACCGCCCCTTCTGCCTGACTCCGTCCATAATATTCCTCGCCTTTTCCCCTCACCCCATTCCCCATCCCACCCCATTCCCCATCCCACCCCCTCTCTCCCCCCACACGTGCCAACTGCCCCCAGTTGAACCTGCACGGGATGACCGTGTCCGTAGTGGACCGCCTGCCCCGAGAGATCATGCTGCTGCTCCTGGAAGACATCTGCTGCTCCTGGGAGGAGTCGGTGAGCCGCACAGGCACAGGGGGAAAGGGGAGGGTAGAGAGGGGGAAACGGGAGGGGCTGGCTAGGCATGTGAGAGGTGGCGAGCAAGCAGCAGTTGGACAACCAGCTGCTCATACCCACCCACCACCCCTCGCCACACTCCCTCCCCAATTCCCACCCCTCTCCCCTCTCCCTCCCCCTTCCCTTCTCCCATCCCTGCCTGGCGCACGATGTATGGGGAGCAGGTGAAGGAGGTGGCGGGCAAGGTGGAGGTGGGCAAACTGCAGGTGGACAATCAACTGCTCACGGCTCGCAACCCTGTTGTGCTCTCGCGCACCCAGGTCAGAGCCTCGGCTCAGATCTCCCTGTGCTTTCTTGCAACATGCTTGAGTTTCACCCCCCCCCCATCTCCCTCTCGCGATTGTAAGAAATATGTTGACTCTCTCACGCTTGCATCCACGCTGGCCGGCACACTGACTTGTAATTCTTCTCTTTGCATTGCCCCTTATTCTCTCCCTCCCAGGCCTTCCCCGCAGAAGCCCTGTTCATGGAGCAGAGCAAGGAGCTGGCGAACCAGGCATCGCTAGCGAGCATGCTGAGCACGGACCCCAAGGAGAAGGAGAAGGCGTTCGTGTCAGTGGAGTTCACGCGCCTGCTGCAGCACCCCTCCATCGTCTACTACCGCCGCTTCCTCTTCCAGCTTCAGGAGTTCGACCTGGTTTTGGAGGAGGATTTCGTGGACACTGCAGTGGCGTACCTGCAGCAGCTGCCTATGGATGATCTCTGGCAGGAGGCGGAGAAGCGGGGTGGGAAGGAGGAGGAGGAGAAGAAGGAGGCGGACGAAGATTTGGTGGAGGATATGACCGGCGCTCCCATCACCAGGACTTACCTGGTCAGTGTGGACCTCTGTGGTGTAGCCCTCAGTGCCATTCTCACCTCACTGCCGTATGGCCTTGCGCCCGTTGCACCCTTACTTGCCATCTCTTCCTGCGTTGATTCCCTCCAAAAAAACCTTGTTGCAAGCAGATAACACATTCCCTTCTCCACTTCCTCCTCTGGCCGGCCGTTTTTCATCTAGCCTGCCCCTTTTCTGTCTGGCCTGCCCCTTTTTCCTCCTCTCCCCCTCTCCAGCCCCGTGACGCCACCATGGTGTCCCCCACATCCCGCCGGCACTTAGTTAAGTCGGAGCCGTTGGTGAACAGCAGCAGCTGGGTGGCGGGGAACCAGGGCCTGCGGTGGTACTTTGAGCGCTTCCAGGTGCAGTCCATGCGCATCAACGTCACGCTCGTCATGAACCCCATCAAGAGCGATGCACCGCCGCCCTCTGGCAGCAGCTCCGAGTGGCACTTGAGAACCACGGCGTCCTCTGCTGGCTTCCCGCTCATCTCGCTCACTCGAGCCCCACTCAGACTCAACAGGTGAGCATAGGCTGGACCAAGGTCTGCCGTGGTGTTGCGTTGCTTCGAGGTGCAGTCCATGCGCATCAACGTCACGCTCGTCATGAACCCCATCAAGAGCGATGCACCGCCGCCCTCTGGCAGCAGCTCCGAGTGGCACTTGAGAACCACGGCGTCCTCTGCTGGCTTCCCGCTCATCTCGCTCACTCGAGCCCCACTCAGACTCAACAGGTGAGCATAGGCTGGACCAAGGTCTGCCGTGGTGTTGCGTTGCTTCGAGGTGCAGTCCATGCGCATCAACGTCACGCTCGTCATGAACCCCATCAAGAGCGATGCACCGCCGCCCTCCGGAAGCAGCTCCGAGTGGCACCTCCGGACCACCGCGTCCTCTGCGGGGTTCCCGCTCATCTCGCTCACCCGAGCCCCGCTGAGAATCAACAGGTGTGTAATCCGCGCTGCCGTCCTCAGGGAGGGAGCAGCTCCGGTGGCACTTCAGCCGGAAGCCCCCCCACCCCTGTCAAATCCCCCCTTCCTCTTCATCCTATTCCCTTTGAACCCCTCTGTCCCGTTAACCCCCCCCCCCCCCCCCCCTGCGTGTGGGCCACTCTGGTGCTGGACAACGCGTTTCAGAACCAGACCACGCTGCTGACATACATGCTGCCTTCTGTGAATCCCTCTCCGTCTTGAACCCCGTTCCTCTCCCCTTCCCCCCCTGTCTCCCCCTCCCCCTCCCACACCCCTCTCTTCTCCCCCTCCCCGCCCGAAACCCCCCTCTCCGTGCGTGCGCGCCAGTCTGGTGCTGGACAATGCGTTTCAGAATCAGAGCACGCTGCAGACGTACGTGCTGCGCCACTACGGGGTGCAGCTGCTGCTTGAACCCCGCTTCTCCCCCCTTCCTCCCCCCCGCGCCCCTTCCCCCCCTCATGCGCACCAGTCTGGTGCTGGACAATGCGTTTCAGAATCAGAGCACGCTGCAGACGTACGTGCTGCGCCACTACGGTGTGCAGCTGCTGCAGGGGCTCCACAAGATCCTCGGCTCCGTTGAGCTGCTCGGCGCCCCGGTACGCCCCTCCTACTTTTCATTCATGCCCCAATACGACTTTGAGGCGCCTTTAAGGGGCTCCACAAGATCCTCGTCTCTGTCGAGCTGCTCGGCGCCCCCGTATGCTCCTCCTGCACCCTGCTTCCTTCCTCCATTGGCTGCTTGCACATATCTCCGCTGCTTTCTGACTCTTCCGTCCCCCCTGCCTTCTTTCATCCGAACACCATATAATCTGTGTCAAATGAACCCCTGTCCACCATACACCACCCCTGTGCCCCGAATGCGACCCTCCCCAGCTATCCCTGGTGGACAACCTTGCCACAGGAGTCATGGACTTCTTTGTTGAGCCTGCCTCCGCCACCACGTGAGTGACTGACTGCCCTACCTCTCGCCCTCTTGAACCTTTCATATCACATCTCTTCTCTCTCCCATTCTCGTCCCATTCTCCCCTCTGGTAGTGCTGGCCCCCATGTTTTTCTGCATGGACAGCCCATCCGTCCCCCGTCGTATCCTCCCAAACCCTTCCAGTTGAGTGGGCTTCGTCAACAGGGTGCTCAAGGACAGTGCGTCTGTCTTCAAGTCCAGAGGTTTCGAAACATTCGCCCTCTGCCCCTGATCTTATCCCTCTCCCCCCTGAACCTCTCTCCCCCGTCCTCCTCTCCCCTTTAACCCCCCCTTGGTCCCCCTCGTTCCATTCCCCTCCTCCCCACCACCCCACTGGCTGGCAGGCCGGAGGAGTTCCTGAATGGCGCAGTGAAGGGCACGGTGAGTCTGATGAAGCACTCGTCGTACGGCGTGCTTCACTCCATCAGCTCCCTCGCTGGCGGCATCGGCTCCGGATTTGCCAAGCTCACCTTCGACGACTCCTTCATCCAGAGGTACATTTTAGAGTCGCCTCCTTGCCACCGGCTCTGCCAAGCTCACCTTCGACGACTCCTTCATCCAGAGGTACATTTTAGAGTCGCCTCCTTGCCACCGGCTTTGCCAAGCTCACCTTCGACGACTCCTTCATCCAGAGGTACATTTTAGAGTCGCCTCCTTGCCACCGGCTTTGCCAAGCTCACCTTCGACGACTCCTTCATCCAGAGGTACATTTTAGAGTCGCCTCCTTGCCACCGGCTTTGCCAAGCTCACCTTCGACGACTCCTTCATCCAGAGGTACATTTTAGAGTCGCCTCCTTGCCACCGGCTTTGCCAAGCTCACCTTCGACGACTCCTTCATCCAGAGGTACATTTTAGAGTCGCCTCCTTGCCACCGGCTTTGCCAAGCTCACCTTCGACGACTCCTTCATCCAGAGGTACATTTTAGAGTCGCCTCCTTGCCACCGGCTCTGCCAAGCTCACCTTCGACGACTCCTTCATCCAGAGGTACATTTTAGAGTCGCCTCCTTGCCACCGGCTTTGCCAAGCTCACCTTCGACGACTCCTTCATCCAGAGGTACATTTTAGAGTCGCCTCCTTGCCACCGGCTTTGCCAAGCTCACCTTCGACGACTCCTTCATCCAGAGGTACATTTTAGAGTCGCCTCCTTGCCACCGGCTTTGCCAAGCTCACCTTCGACGACTCCTTCATCCAGAGGTACATTTTAGAGTCGCCTCCTTGCCACCGCCTTTGCCAAGCTCACCTTCGACGACTCCTTCATCCAGAGGTACATTTTAGAGTCGCCTCCTTGCCACCGGCTTTGCCAAGCTCACCTTCGACGACTCCTTCATCCAGAGGTACATTTTAGAGTCGCCTCCTTGCCACCGCCTTTGCCAAGCTCACCTTTGGCGACCCCTTCATTCAGAGGTACACTGGCGGGCGCGCTGATAGATTTAGTAATGAACAAAGATGACCTCTTGCAAAGAGTTCATGAATACGTCTCTTCTGCCAAACCCAAGCCCTCCACCCAATCCCCCTCCCCTCTCGCCCACCGCCAACCCCTCCCGCAAACAACCACCCCCCCACCCCCCCCCCCCCCTTCAGGTTCAGCCAGCGGCCGGAGGGAACATCGCAGCAGGTGCTGCGAGGAGCACAGGACGTGGGGCTGGGCTTCGTGGGGGCCGTCACAGGACTGGTGCTGCAGCCGCTGGAGGGTGCACGCAGGGAGGGGGCCGTGGGTGCAGTCAAGGGCATGGGCAAAGGGGTGGTTGGGCTGGTGACCAAGCCGCTGTCGGGGCTGCTGGGGTTTGCGTCGACGCTGACTGAGAGCGCCGGCACGGGGATCAGGGCGATTGGGGGGGATGTGACAAGGCGGAGTGTGCCGCGGATTCGACTGCCCAGCACTTTTGGGCGAAATGATGCGATCTCGGTGAGTCGAGGCTGTGGTGAATGAGGATGTGAGTGTGTGTTGTTGTTGTTGTTGTTTTTTTGTTTTTTGTTTTTTTTTTGTCATTCACCTTTTCTTCTCTTGTTACCCATGATTTTTGCTGCTCTACTTCCTTCACTCCCTCCTTTACCTCTGAATCCTCATAACCTCTGCCTTCCCCTTCCCCCCAGCTGGAGACAGAGACACTCCTTTCCACTCCCCAACCCCCCTGCCACCCCTCCCCCCTCCCCGCAGCTGGAGCTAGAGAAGCTAGTGTGGATCTGAAGCTAGTCGTGGCCATTGTGGAGTTCAGGCGGTACCCCAGCGAGCACCACTTGCAACCCTGTCCACTCCCATCTAATCCCTACATCCCTCCAACTCCCCTCCAGCTGGAGCCAGAGGACAGTGTGGAGCTGAAGCTAGTCTTGGCCATCCTGGAATTTTGGGCGCTACCACAACGAGCACCTGTTGACCCCTTTCCACCCCCCCCAACTCCCTACATCCCTCCAACTCTTCCCCCCCCAGCTGGAGCCAGAGGACAGTGTGGAGCTGAAGCTGGTGCTGGCCATACTGGACTTTGGGCGGTACCGTGACGAGCACCTGTTGGACCATCTGCAGACGTCAGGGCGCATGGCGGTGCTATTCACCGTTGCGCGCCTCATCTTCTACGACTGCCAGCGCAACGTCTTCTACTGGCAGATCCCTCTTAAAGGTACGGCCATGCTGTGATGGATGTACAATGCTTGTCTCTTTTTCATAGTGTTGAGGCGTCTCAGAGAGCGCAAGGCGGTGCTCTTCACTGTTGTGCGTTTGCTCTGCCAGCGCAACATCTTTTTCTGGCAAATCCCCCCTCAGGGGTAGGTTCAAGAAATGCTAGTGATTTTTTTCACTCACCATGCGTGTGTTTTGCGTCTGTTCTGTTCTGTTCTGTTCTGTTCTGTTCTGTTCTGTTTGTTTGTTTGTTTATTTCGCTTGTTTTGTTTCTTTTCCATTTCATTTCGTTGCTTACCTGGATTGGAACCATCCGCCATCAAATTTCTCGTCTCCCCCTCCCCCTTCTCCACTCGGGCTGCAGACATAACCTCAGTGATGGGAATGGAGGGGCGGCTGGAGAGCATAATTCTGTACGATGCAGATGTGGTGATCGCAGGCAAGAAGCTCCCTCTGCGCATGCCCGCCCGCAAGGTCATCAAGACCACCACCCGCGAACTCCACATGGCGCTCTTAGTTAAGCTCAACCGACACTTAGCCCGCATCCGCGCCGCACTCCCCTCCTCCTCTGCCACCTCCCCCCACCGCGGGTCCCGTGATTCAGTTGCTGCCAGCACTGCTGATGATGCGTCACACTCCTCCTCTCGCCCCCTCTCTGCTGGCTCGTCTCCTGTTCTCTCTCCCTCCCCCTCCCTCCCTTCCCCTCTCCGCCTTGCTCAATCCCCTGGGAACGTCTCTGAGGCGAGTGCTGTTGGCGGCAAGGTAGCAGGGAGGTCTGGAGGAGCAGCCGGTGCTGGTGTTGGCAGGAGCAGCAGTGGTGGTGGTGCCGCTGATCGTACGGCTGGGAGAGTCTTTGCCGGCAGCCAGTTCCCGCTCACAAAGATTTTATCTGCGCAGAGAGAGCAGGAGGAGGAGGGGGAGAAGGAGGAGAAAGAGGAGGAAGAGGCTTCTGAATCTGCTCGCGGGGTGAGTGTGGCGGGAGGAGTTGCTGCGGCAACGGGAGCGACACGGTGGAGGAAGCAAACCAGTGGGAGAGGTGCTGCAGGCGCTGCAGCTGACAAGGGCAAGTCTCCTGTAGACCAGACTCACAGCGGCCCAGCTCCGGTCAGAGCTAAGAAAAGCAGCTTCCGCAGGGGCAAATCAGGAGGATTCGGGGGAGGTGACAAGTTGGGGAAACAGGGTGTGATATGGGAAGATGCGGATGTGGAGGCAGCACAAGTGGACCAGGGCGACAGTGACGAGGATGATTATCGCGAGGATGCAAATGGTGGGGCGGCAAGGGTGGCTCAGTTGGATAGGGAGGAGCGGCAGGAGGTGCGGCGGAATCTGGATGCTATACTGACGACTTGCCAAGTGGCGAGTGCAAGAGCTGGCGGTCGAGCAGACCCTGCTTCGGCTCTGGTTTCTGTGAGATTCCTTGCACTTGCTGCGTATTCCCGCGTACAGGCACATAGGGCTGAACAGGCCACGCTAGGAGCGACAGCGTTGCAAGGGGTGCGGAGGGGTGATGATTCGCAATGGGAGGAAGATGTGTCGGCATTGCTGCGCACAATGGTGGCTCTGACTGAAGGTGGTGAGACTGGTTCGTCGAGAGACCAGTCTCAGATCTTGGGAACGCTCGAGGCAATCTGCCACCAGGCCATTGACCGTGTCTCTGGCCGTTGATGGTATGTATACATTTTTTTTAATCCCATTAGCGACATTATGTTTAGTCCTCTATGTTTAGGCGATGACATGATTTGCTTTAAATCATGCCCTAAAAGTACGTAGGTAGGTAGGTAGGGCAGTCATAGGCCTGTATATAGGCTAATAAATTTTATTACCCAGTTATTGAGCTTAGTTGTGTAGCATCAAAAGAAACACTTCTGACACGTCAGCGTCGATGACATCCAGCCCAGATTTTGTCACGCGGCTCCTCCGCCTGCACACTTGTTTTCCCGCCTTCGTGTCCCGCTAAACCACAACAGGCCAACCCCATTTGGGAATGGCAGTCGAGGGCTCGGTGCTCGAGTAGAATCCAGGCCAGCGACGAAAGGTGATCTTGTGTAGTTTCTTGTTATCAGGACAATCTATGGTCGTGCAGTGGGTATAGCTCCAGGTGCTGTCTCGCGCGAAATTGAGCACTCTGCGAGCTTACTGCGTCGCATCCCGCAACTTTCGCCAATAAACGAGCCAGACTGTCACCCCTCTCACCGCGGGGGATCGTTGCTCTTTAGTGCAGTTTATCGTTCAGCCATTGCTGTTCTCGCGAGAGTCTAATCAGCTCTCGTCTCCTCTTTAGCGACCATTGTCGTTTCTCTCCGCGGTGCCATGACCGTGTGTGCCTGCCTCTCGCGAGTCGCGATCCGTGGAACGACGTCGCTTCCTTCCGTCGCCTGCTGCCCTCGCCGAAAGCAACAACAATCGCTCTCGCTTCGAAAACACAACGAGCATGCGTTACTAAGCGTCGCGTGCGAAAAACAATGTCGGTCTCAATACACAAACGTCGGGGTGTTGGGGTCGTCGAGACGACGGTGTTGCGGTGCAGTGCGGTGCTCCGCCGCGTCAGCAGATGACCCAAGGGCCACGCTTCCTTCCGTTGCTATCGTATCTGGCGATAATGGATCTCTCAAGGTTAGCAAATCAACTCTGCCATCCTGACTTCCTGCCTTCTTGCCTTCCTCCGTCTCCTCTACCTTCTGCTCTCATCCCCCCTCTGCCTACATCCGCCTCACCCTAAAAAATGCCACACCGTTCTCGGACCGTCCCCCTCGCCTCATCATGTCTGTTATCACCCACCATCCAAGCGCGATTCAAGCTGCCAGACAAAAACCAGCTTTTGAGGCGCCTCAAGAATGATCACTCTTCGCTCCACCATTCCTTCTACCCCATTTTCGACTTACACAGAGCGCGAGTCAGGCTGGCGCGCAGAGGGCAGCGCAGGAGGCGAGTGACGACGACGTGCTGATAGAGCTCAAGGACGTGTACAAGTCGTTCGGCAGCAAGCACATCCTCAGAGGCGCGTCGCTCAAGGTGCGGTTCCTACCGCCTGTCCGCCCCTCTCTACGCGTCCAAACGTGCCTTTACCTGTCACTGCTTTTATCTATGTGTCATTCCATGCAGTCATTCCTTGCAGTCATTCCTTGCAGTCATTCCTTGCAGTCATTCCTTGCAGTCATTCCTTGCAGTCATTCCATGCAGCCATTCCTTGCAGTCATTCCATGCAGCCATTCCTTGCAGTCATTCCATGCAGCCATTCCTTGCAGTCATTCCATGCAGCCATTCCTTGCAGTCATTCCATGCAGCCATTCCTTGCAGTCATTCCATGCAGCCATTCCTTGCAGTCATTCCATGCAGCCATTCCTTGCAGTCATTCCATGCAGCCATTCCTTGCAGTCATTCCATGCAGCCATTCCTTGCAGTCATTCCATGCAGCCATTCCTTGCAGTCATTCCATGCAGCCATTCCTTGCAGTCATTCCATGCAGCCATTCCTTGCAGTCATTCCATGCAGCCATTCCTTGCAGTCATTCCATGCAGCCATTCCTTGCAGTCATTCCATGCAGCCATTCCTTGCAGTCATTCCATGCAGCCATTCCTTGCAGTCATTCCATGCAGCCATTCCTTGCAGTCATTCCATGCAGCCATTCCTTGCAGTCATTCCATGCAGCCATTCCTTGCAGTCATTCCATGCAGCCATTCCTTGCAGTCATTCCATGCAGCCATTCCTTGCAGTCATTCCATGCAGCCATTCCTTGCAGTCATTCCATGCAGCCATTCCTTGCAGTCATTCCATGCAGCCATTCCTTGCAGTCATTCCATGCAGCCATTCCTTGCAGTCATTCCATGCAGCCATTCCTTGCAGTCATTCCATGCAGCCATTCCTTGCAGTCATTCCATGCAGCCATTCCTTGCAGTCATTCCATGCAGCCATTCCTTGCAGTCATTCCATGCAGCCATTCCTTGCAGTCATTCCATGCAGCCATTCCTTGCAGTCATTCCATGCAGCCATTCCTTGCAGTCATTCCATGCAGCCATTCCTTGCAGTCATTCCATGCAGCCATTCCTTGCAGTCATTCCATGCAGCCATTCCTTGCAGTCATTCCATGCAGCCATTCCTTGCAGTCATTCCATGCAGCCATTCCTTGCAGTCATTCCATGCAGCCATTCCTTGCAGTCATTCCATGCAGCCATTCCTTGCAGTCATTCCATGCAGCCATTCCTTGCAGTCATGCAGCCATTCCTTGCAGTCATTCCATGCAGCCATTCCTTGCAGTCATTCCATGCAGCCATTCCTTGCAGTCATTCCATGCAGCCATTCCTTGCAGTCATTCCATGCAGCCATTCCTTGCAGTCATTCCATGCAGTCATTCCTTGCAGTCATTCCATGCAGCCATTCCTTGCAGTCATTCCATGCAGCCATTCCTTGCAGTCATTCCATGCAGCCATTCCTTGCAGTCATTCCATGCAGCCATTCCTTGCAGTCATTCCATGCAGCCATTCCTTGCAGTCATTCCATGCAGCCATTCCTTGCAGTCATTCCATGCAGCCATTCCTTGCAGTCATTCCATGCAGCCATTCCTTGCAGTCATTCCATGCAGCCATTCCTTGCAGTCATTCCATGCAGCCATTCCTTGCAGTCATTCCATGCAGCCATTCCTTGCAGTCATTCCATGCAGCCATTCCTTGCAGTCATTCCATGCAGCCATTCCTTGCAGTCATTCCATGCAGCCATTCCTTGCAGTCATTCCATGCAGCCATTCCTTGCAGTCATTCCATGCAGCCATTCCTTGCAGTCATTCCATGCAGCCATTCCTTGCAGTCATTCCATGCAGCCATTCCTTGCAGTCATTCCATGCAGCCATTCCTTGCAGTCATTCCATGCAGCCATTCCTTGCAGTCATTCCATGCAGCCATTCCTTGCAGTCATTCCATGCAGCCATTCCTTGCAGTCATTCCATGCAGCCATTCCTTGCAGTCATTCCATGCAGCCATTCCTTGCAGTCATTCCATGCAGCCATTCCTTGCAGTCATTCCATGCAGTCATTCCTTGCAGTCATTCCATGCAGCCATTCCTTGCAGTCATTCCATGCAGCCATTCCTTGCAGTCATTCCATGCAGCCATTCCTTGCAGTCATTCCATGCAGCCATTCCTTGCAGTCATTCCATGCAGCCATTCCTTGCAGTCATTCCATGCAGTCATTCCTTGCAGTCATTCCATGCAGCCATTCCTTGCAGTCATTCCATGCAGCCATTCCTTGCAGTCATTCCATGCAGCCATTCCTTGCAGTCATTCCATGCAGCCATTCCTTGCAGTCATTCCATGCAGCCATTCCTTGCAGTCATTCCATGCAGCCATTCCTTGCAGTCATTCCATGCAGCCATTCCTTGCAGTCATTCCATGCAGCCATTCCTTGCAGTCATTCCATGCAGCCATTCCTTGCAGTCATTCCATGCAGCCATTCCTTGCAGTCATTCCATGCAGCCATTCCTTGCAGTCATTCCATGCAGCCATTCCTTGCAGTCATTCCATGCAGCCATTCCTTGCAGTCATTCCATGCAGCCATTCCTTGCAGTCATTCCATGCAGCCATTCCTTGCAGTCATTCCATGCAGCCATTCCTTGCAGTCATTCCATGCAGCCATTCCTTGCAGTCATTCCATGCAGCCATTCCATGCAGCCATTTCTGACCCGTCCGTCTTCCCTTCCCTTTGCTCCCACCCACTGCCTTGAATGCACAATTGCATGGGTCAGATCCGGAGGGGCGAGGCGGTGGGGGTGATAGGGCCGTCTGGCACGGGCAAGTCAACGATTCTGAAAATCATGGCGGGTCTGCTGGCACCTGACAAGGTAGAGCAAGAGCCCATGCCCGTTCCTTGCATGCATCCAGCCAATTTTTTAGGCGCCTCAAAAATAGATTTTGAAGATAATGGATGGACTGCTGGCGCCTGACAAGGTAGGGCAAGAGCCCATGTCCGTTCCCATTGCATGCATCCCGTCTATCATTTAGGTGCCTAATCGTGGCTGGACTGCTGGCGCCTGACAAGGTAGATTAAGACATTGTGCTCCTTGGCATCATGTGCATCCCATCGTGTGCATCCCATCATGTGCATCCCATCATGTGCATCCCATTATGTGCATCCCATCATGTACATCCCATCATGTGCATCCCATCATGTGCATCCATCATGTGCACCCCATCATGTGCATCACATCATGTGCATCCCATCATGTGCATCCCATCATGCGCATCCCATCATGTGCATCCCATCATGTGGATCCCATCATGTGCATCCCATCATGTGCATCCCATCATGCGCATCCCATCATGCGCATCCCATCATGTGCATCCCATCATGTGGATCCCATCATGTGCATCCCATCATGTGCATCCCATCATGCGCATCCCATCATGCGCATCCCATCATGTGCATCCCATCATGCGCATCCCATCATGTGCATCCCATCATGTGGATCCCATCATGTGCATCCCATCATGTGCATCCCATCATGTGCATCCCATCATGTGCATCCCATCACGTGCATCCCATCATGCGCATCCCATCATGTGCATCCCATCATGTGGATCCCATCATGTGCATCCCATCATGTGCATCCCATCTTGTGCACCCCATCATGTGCATCCCATCATGTGGATCCCATCATGTGCATCCCATCATGTGCATCCCATCATGTGGATCCCATCATGTGCATCCCATCATGTGCATCCCATCATGCGCATCCCATCATGCGCATCCCATCATGTGCATCCCATCATGCGCATCCCATCATGTGCATCCCATCATGTGGATCCCATCATGTGCATCCCATCATGTGCATCCCATCATGTGCATCCCATCATGTGCATCCCATCATGTGCATCCCATCATGCGCATCCCATCATGCGCATCCCATCATGTGCATCCCATCATGCGCATCCCATCATGTGCATCCCATCATGTGGATCCCATCATGTGCATCCCATCATGTGCATCACATCATGTGCATCCCATCATGTGCATCCCATCATGTGCATCCCATCATGTGCATCCCATCATGTGCATCCCATCATGCGCATCCCATCATGTGCATCCCATCATGCGCATCCCATCATGTGCATCCCATCATGTGCATCACATCATGTGCATCCCATCATGTGCATCCCATCATGTGCATCCCATCATGTGCATCCCATCATGCGCATCCCATCATGTGCATCCCATCATGCGCATCCCATCATGTGCATCCCATCATGTGCATCCCATCATGTGCATCCCATCATGTGCATCCCATCATGTGCATCCCATCTTGTGCACCCCATCATGTGCATCCCATCATGTGGATCCCATCATGTGCATCCCATCATGTGCATCCCATCATGTGCATCCCATCATGTGCATCCCATCATGTGCATCCCATCATGTGCATCCCATCATGTGCATCCCATCTTGTGCACCCCATCATGTGCATCCCATCATGTGGATCCCATCATGTGCATCCCATCATGTGCATCCCATCATGCGCATCCCATCATGCGCATCCCATCATGCGCATCCCATCATGTGCATCCCATCATGCGCATCCCATCATGTGCATCCCATCTTGTGCACCCCATCATGTGCATCCCATCATGTGCATCCCATCATGTGCATCCCATCATGTGCATCCCATCATGTGCATCCCATCATGTGCATCCCATCATGCGCATCCCATCATGCGCATCCCATCATGTGCATCCCATCATGCGCATCCCATCATGCGCATCCCATCATGTGCATCCCATCTTGTGCACCCCATCATGTGCATCCCATCATGTGCATCCCATCATGTGCATCCCATCATGTGCATCCCATCATGTGCATCCCATCATGTGCATCCCATCATGCGCATCCCATCATGCGCATCCCATCATGCGCATCCCATCATGTGCATCCCATCATGCGCATCCCATCATGTGCATCCCATCATGCGCATCCCATCATGCGCATCCCATCATGTGCATCCCATCATGTGCATCCCATCATGTGCATCCCATCATGCGCATCCCATCATGCGCATCCCATCATGTGCATCCCATCATGCGCATCCCATCATGTGCATCCCATCATGTGGATCCCATCATGTGCATCCCATCATGTGCATCACATCATGTGCATCCCATCATGTGCATCCCATCATGTGCATCCCATCATGTGCATCCCATCATGTGCATCCCATCATGTGCATCCCATCATGTGCATCCCATCATGTGCATCCCATCATGCGCATCCCATCATGTGCATCCCATCATGCGCATCCCATCATGTGCATCCCATCATGTGGATCCCATCATGTGCATCCCATCATGTGCATCACATCATGTGCATCCCATCATGTGCATCCCATCATGTGCATCCCATCATGTGCATCCCATCATGTGCATCCCATCATGCGCATCCCATCATGTGCATCCCATCATGTGCATCCCATCATGTGCATCCCATCATGTGCATCCCATCATGTGCATCCCATCATGTGCATCCCATCATGCGCATCCCATCATGTGCATCCCATCATGTGCATCCCATCATGTGCATCCCATCATGTGCATCCCATCATGCGCATCCCATCATGTGCATCCCATCATGTGCATCACATCATGTGCATCCCATCATGTGCATCCCATCATGTGCATCCCATCATGTGCATCCCATCATGCGCATCCCATCATGTGCATCCCATCATGCGCATCCCATCATGTGCATCCCATCATGTGGATCCCATCATGTGCATCCCATCATGTGCATCCCATCATGTGCATCCCATCATGTGCATCCCATCATGTGCATCCCATCTTGTGCACCCCATCATGTGCATCCCATCATGTGGATCCCATCATGTGCATCCCATCATGTGCATCCCATCATGCGCATCCCATCATGCGCATCCCATCATGTGCATCCCATCATGTGGATCCCATCATGTGCATCCCATCATGTGCATCCCATCATGCGCATCCCATCATGCGCATCCCATCATGTGCATCCCATCATGCGCATCCCATCATGTGCATCCCATCATGTGGATCCCATCATGTGCATCCCATCATGTGCATCCCATCATGTGCATCCCATCATGTGCATCCCATCATGCGCATCCCATCATGCGCATCCCATCATGTGCATCCCATCATGCGCATCCCATCATGTGCATCCCATCATGTGGATCCCATCATGTGCATCCCATCATGTGCATCACATCATGTGCATCCCATCATGTGCATCCCATCATGTGCATCCCATCATGTGCATCCCATCATGTGCATCCCATCATGTGCATCCCATCATGTGCATCCCATCATGCGCATCCCATCATGCGCATCCCATCATGTGCATCCCATCATGCGCATCCCATCATGTGCATCCCATCATGTGGATCCCATCATGTGCATCCCATCATGTGCATCACATCATGTGCATCCCATCATGTGCATCCCATCATGTGCATCCCATCATGTGCATCCCATCATGTGCATCCCATCATGCGCATCCCATCATGTGCATCCCATCATGCGCATCCCATCATGTGCATCCCATCATGTGCATCACATCATGTGCATCCCATCATGTGCATCCCATCATGTGCATCCCATCATGTGCATCCCATCATGCGCATCCCATCATGTGCATCCCATCATGCGCATCCCATCATGTGCATCCCATCATGTGGATCCCATCATGTGCATCCCATCATGTGCATCCCATCATGTGCATCCCATCATGTGCATCCCATCATGTGCATCCCATCTTGTGCACCCCATCATGTGCATCCCATCATGTGCATCCCATCATGTGCATCCCATCATGTGCATCCCATCATGTGCATCCCATCATGTGCATCCCATCATGCGCATCCCATCATGCGCATCCCATCATGTGCATCCCATCTTGTGCACCCCATCATGTGCATCCCATCATGTGCATCCCATCATGTGCATCCCATCATGTGCATCCCATCATGTGCATCCCATCATGTGCATCCCATCATGCGCATCCCATCATGCGCATCCCATCATGTGCATCCCATCATGTGGATCCCATCATGTGCATCCCATCATGTGCATCCCATCATGCGCATCCCATCATGCGCATCCCATCATGTGCATCCCATCATGCGCATCCCATCATGTGCATCCCATCATGTGCATCCCATCATGTGCATCCCATCATGTGCATCCCATCATGCGCATCCCATCATGCGCATCCCATCATGTGCATCCCATCTTGTGCACCCCATCATGTGCATCCCATCATGTGCATCCCATCATGTGCATCCCATCATGTGCATCCCATCATGTGCATCCCATCATGTGCATCCCATCATGCGCATCCCATCATGCGCATCCCATCATGTGCATCCCATCATGTGGATCCCATCATGTGCATCCCATCATGTGCATCCCATCATGCGCATCCCATCATGCGCATCCCATCATGTGCATCCCATCATGCGCATCCCATCATGTGCATCCCATCATGTGCATCCCATCATGTGCATCCCATCATGTGCATCCCATCATGTGCACCCTATTGTGTGCATCCAGCCACATGCAGCCCATCGCATGCATGCCATCGTGTTCATCCCATCGTGTGCCCCATCACATACATCCCATTCCTTTTCGCCTTCCCACTTGCCCCCAACCACCCTCTTCTCCCTGTCGCTCCCTGCCAGGGCGAGGTGTGGATATGCGGCAAGAAGCGAGAGGGGTTGATCAGCGATCAGGAGAACATGGGCTTGCGGATTGGCCTGGTAAGGTGTTCAAAGGACTGTGGAGTTGCATTGTTTCTTCATCAGCCTGATTTTTCTTGTGGATGTAAGCTGAGGGACGTGAAACGTTTTCTATGCCCTTGCATCTTTTAGGAAGGAAGTTACATATTGTAGTGCGAATTGGTAGTTATGTTTCTGTTTTTTTGTTTTTTTCATGTTTTTTGTTTTTTTTTTTTTTCATTTTTTCATTTTTGTGGCTCTTTTTTATTCATGTGTGTTTGAGTCAACCTAGAGCACACCTGTTTGTACCCCTATTTTTCATCAACTTGCAGGTGTTTCAAAGCGCAGCTCTGTTCGACTCATTGACCGTGCGTGAGAATGTGGGCTTCCTGCTGTGAGTCTCCCGCCTCCCTAGCCTATCCCGTAACTGTGTCATATGATTGCCCTCGCCTATATTTTATGCCCCCTAGGACCCCCGTTTTTTCTGCCCTGAGCAGTATATTTTTTCCTGATCTCGTGCAACTGTATTGGCATCATTGGATCTGCTCGTGCCAGCTGTCAAACCTTGAAAATCCCCTCACCTCGTTTGTGTTACGTCAGATACGAGCACTCGCGGCTGTCTGAGGAGGAGATTCGCCTGCGAGTGAAGGACAGCCTCAAGGCAGTGGGGCTCAAGGTGAGCAGCAGTGGGGCTTTAAGAAAGCATCAGTGGGGCTTTAAGACAGAAGCAGGGAGGCTTTAAGATAGCAGCAGTGGGGCTTTAAGAGAGCAGCAGTGGGGCTTTAAGACAGCAGCAGTGGGACTCGAAGTGAGCAGAAGGAGGGCTCAAAAGTGAACAGCAGTAGGGCTCGAAGTGAACAGCAAGTTTATCTCTTCCTTTCCACCCCACCTCACTCCTCCTGCAATTTCCTTCTTTCTCCTACCATCCTTTCACTTCCTCCCCCTCCATCCCCTCATCTGATCCTCTTGCGCTGTCTGCCCTCCATCCGGCAGAATGTGGAGGAGCGATTCCCCTCGGAGCTCTCAGGCGGCATGAAGAAGCGAGTAGCACTGGCACGGGCGATCGTGTCGGACAGCGATGCTCCGCAGCTGGAGGAGGAGGTGGTGATGTACGATGAGCCGACCGCAGGGCTAGATCCGATTGCGTCCACCGTGGTCGAAGATTTGATTCGCTCGCTGCACGTAAGGTCATCGGTTCCGGTGCCGGTGACTGCGGAGATAGCAGCTGGGTTGGAGTCGGATTTTGAAACAGAGTCTGAGGATTCGGAGGATGAGATGGGCGGCGGGAGAGGGGCGGGTGGTGCTGCGGGTGGGGGCAGCAGGGATGGTAGCGGCAGCGGCAGCGGTGGTGGCTCCAAGGCTCGCAAAATGGCATCGGTATCGTCGTACATTGTCGTGACACATCAGCACAGCACGATTCGGCGAGCTGTTGACAGGTCAGCATGCTGCCTTGTGTTGACAGGTCTTCTCTGTCTCCCTGCCTCGCTTTTGTCATACCTCTTCTCTTGCAGCGAACCTAGCTTGTGGTTGGCCCGGCCAGGCCATGACAGGTCCTGCACCTGTGGTGGGATGGGTGCGAATCAAGATCGCAGAACCTGAGAGTTTCATGGTGTCTTTTGAGAGTTTATTTGAGGCATCCCAAATAATTTTTTTCAGATGTATTTTGAATTCACCTGCCTGTTCTGAGTGTTGACGTCTGCGGTGCTTGCAGGCTGCTGTTCCTGTACGGAGGGGAGGTGGTGTGGGAGGGCCCCACAGAGGAGTTTGACACGACTGACAACCCCATAGTGAGACAGGTGAGTAGATGCACCTGGCGATGCCTGTCAGATGGAGTCCCTTTTATCACATGTGCCTGGTTCTGCTGCATGTGCGCGTGCTGCTGCATGTGCATGTGATGGTGCATGTGCGTGTGCTGCTGCATGTGCATGTGACGGTGCATGTGCGTGTGCTGCTGCATGTGCGTGTGATGGTGCATGTGCGTGTGCTGCTGCATGTTCATGTGCTGCTGCATGTGCGTGTCCTGCTACACTGGATGCTCTTATTGCTAGCATGACCAGTTCCCTTTCCTCTTCTGTTCTTGCGTGTGCTTGCAGTTTGCTGTTGGCAGTCTCGACGGCCCTATTCGCTACTAGTCTGTGCTGTCACATTCTGAGAGCCAAGCGAGAGCTAGCGCCAGGCACCTATCATACAACTCAGCAGTTTACACCATAACTTCCATGTAGACCATCCAACGGGCATACATATTGTATTGCGCACTGCATCAGATGCAGCTGCCGCTGCTACCACCTCTAGGCATTCCATGCAATGCTTCTCTGGCAGTCTGAAAAAAAAGCAATGCAAGCCCTCATGCATTATATTACATACAGGTAAAAGGGAGACCAGACAGGGCTGCCTACAAGATTGAAACTATTGTACGTTTCAACATGGCAGCCTAAGGTACCGTATCTATTCAGATTCTCAACCTAGGCTACAGAGAGTCCACATTCCTCTAGTTGTCCATGCCTTGACACACCACATATTCCAAAAGGTCGAACACATGAGTCCACGCATCCTCCACCACTCCGCGCCACCTGCTCCCCATCGCCTTCCCCATCGTTTTCAAAAATGCTGTTCTGAAAATCGGCGTATCGTCAGCAGCTACACCGTAATTTAGATGTCTACACCCCAGCGACATGAATCTCGGCGTGACCTTTTTCTCGACCGCATCCGCGTCGTCCATCTGCATGATCGCTTCGCACATGAGCCCGAAGGCGTGCGTCGCGTGCTCCTGCAGCCGCTTGTTCAGCGGCGCGGGTTCCGACGAGTTGCGCACGTATGAAAAGAGGTTGCGGCCGTCCGGGGAAATGTCGAAAACACTGGTGAGAGGAGATGGGGGAGAGGGGGAGGGGGGGGGGGAGGGGAAACAGGACAGGCGGAATGCGCGAGAGGGGAGAACAGAGAAGGGAGAGAGAGAGGGGACGGAGTAAGTGGGTGAGGGCTGTGTTATGGGCATGGCTGGTTGAGCGAAGTGTTGCAAAAAGCGCATCACACTTCGTTACAAATGGGTATGAGGGGGTTCGTACATGAGGAAGAGAATGATGGCGTGCTGATCGACGTTTGGCTGCACGAACTCGGCGAATGTCTCCCGCACGATCTGACCCTGCTCTGCTGTCAGCAACGACGGCCTCTCGCCCGTGGAACTGCTGCTTATCGGTGGCCCCGATATAGAGGGATCCGCTAACGACGCTCGCATTACAAAGTCCATTCTGAATGTCTGCCTCTCGGTTGGAGATACCCCAGTGCGTGCAAGGTGCGCGAAGTCGTCAAAGGACGCTGCGTTTCTCGGAGGATCTACGAAACAGCTCGCGGAGGCTTGTGTGACTGCGCTGTGATGAGGAACAAAAAGAGCAGGAGGAACGCGGGAAGGGACGAGACGTTCGAGCGAACTGGGAACTAGGTCGAAAGCGCAAGGGGGCGAGCGGTAGAGATCGTTCAGGCTGACTACTGTGGTTGTGAACTCTAGTCACACCGAAAGTCCTCGCGAGTGAGTTATGTACACACTACAAGTTTGAGATCTAGGGCCAGAGCATGAGAAGAACCACCGTTGATTGTCAACAACACTCGTTGATGATGGCATGACATGATCCGTCCATCACACCCGGGCCGGGGCGGATGTGTTCCCCGGTCGCAACTCATCACCATCTGATCTCACCAGATGAGTCACCTCACCACCAACCAAACCCAATTCTGCTCTGCTTGTCCCTTCAAATTTCCCGTCTCGCGTGTGAATGTTTGCACGACTGGCGATTCGGCAAACAGCCATCAGCGACGATGTTTGTCGGGGCTTGGGCGGACGTCAGCATCCCGCTGGCGTAAATTGCAAGTGACGCAGATTGTGCGCGGGGATCCCGTGGCGGGGAAGACCGCAACTTCGTTTGTGCTGTGCTGTGATGCCAGCATTGCGAAGGGGAGGGGGGGTGCGGCGGAGAAACGCACAGCGCAGGAATCCAGCACGCGCAAAAATCAGCATCCAGGATTGCCCCACCCCCCTTCGCTTGCCCTTTCGCTGCGAGAAGTGACTTCGGCCCCTCAGCAAGCAAAAGGCCTGGAATCCCCATAACTAATTTAACATTTTTTTGCATATTTCGCCTGCTTGGTGACGAGTGTTTGTAGAATGTGCAAGCTCATTTGTTCTAAGCTTTAGCGAGACACAGTTTCGGAGTACATTTGCGGAACTGTTTCGCGAACATGACGAGGAGAGGAGAACCCACGTTCTATGAACAAAAGTCGCAAGCATCGCATCGCAACGGCAGTTTCGAGCGAGCAGCTGCGAGTGGGTTACTAGCGTCGCCTAGACGTAACTTTTTCTTGCAGATGTTTTGCCTTTTGTCAACCAATAAGATTGCTTCGCGGGCTTCACCTGCTTCTGTCTGTCGACAGGCTTCAACTGGACCGCTTCTGTCAGGCTGTTTCTAGAAAATGGCGGCCATACTTCATCTGTGCCTCCATTGACTTGACTTGCTTGAGAAATCGTGCACTGAAAGAATGCAGCACGGCATTACTCACAGCCTCTTTTCTGTACTCAGGTTCCTTCGTCGCGGCGTGAGATACCAAATCATGGATTCTTGTTTTAGTCAATGAAGCTGTGTCACTTTCGCCGTCAGATACTTTCCACGCTAGGCGAGTCGCGAGTGATCAACCTATCTACCAACACACACGATACCTGTATCAAGTTACGGATCAGTAGTGCTCTTGATTATTCGTATTAGGTAGCTCATAACAATCACGGCATCGAGGGGTTCGATTCGATGTCGTCGTCAGGACACAGAAATGGCGATCTGCACATTGGAACCAACAGAGACAACACACACTTCCTGTCAAGCGGAGCTCAATTCTCTCCCTCCTACTCACAAGCTACCGGCAGAATGGGAAGCGGAGGCAATCTGGCAGCGAGTCACAAGAAGCAGAGCGAAGCGATAAAGCAGAAGCAGAAGCATAAACCGAAGCAACGCCCGTCCTTCTCTCGCCGACCGCCGCTCATGCTTCCCAGAACGTGGCGAATGCTACGGTTTCTCTTCGTCGCCTTCGTCATCGCGTTAGCTCTATCGTCCTTCTTGATGTCGGGGATCGCTCCGTTCCTAGGAAACCCTAAAGCGATGTGGGCGTTTCTGACCACTCGCCGAGTGCGTAGAATAGCGTTCGGGTCAGGGACAACTCCGGAGAACACGTCGCAGCCAGTGTGGACGCGAGGCGTCATTCCATCCTCGCCTGACGTGTGGATATGGTGAGCCACGTCACGCCTTGGGGTTGGTTATTCGTGTAACCCTAACCATAGTGAATGAGTGATTCGCGTAGCGACCGTTGATCTCAATTACAATCATTTGCTCGGAAACCCTAAGTTTCAGAAGCTTGTGACTTGCTTCTTCCTGTCCTACGTGGCATCTGATCAGGCTTGGTGACATGGCGTATCTGGATGAGCCCGAGGTGAACTGTACACGGTGGCCGTTACATCCGCAATGTAACTGTACCAGCGACTGGTTTCAACAACGGGGCATTTCATGTGTCAGAGGTGAGCTCTTGAGGTGTTACTTCTCAGAACTCCTCAACTTTGAGCTGAACAATGCCAATTTTTTTCATTCTGCGAAAATTACCACCTTTCCAGGAGTTCAAGCATCCCATCCCAGCCCACATTCGCACCTGACCCCGTCTTAACTCTTGGTCCCAACCTCTTTTGACGCGCCCCCTCCCGAATCTCCAGGAAACAGCAAGTATGCCATCACTCGGATGCAACAGCAGCTACAGAACCCGGATTATATCAAAGTAAGGCCGCATGCTTGCATTGTGTCTCTTGCATTCCTGTTCGTTCCGACATCAGCACTCTTCTCTAATCAAGCTCTGTGCGCTGCTCGTGCATGTTGCTGCTTTGGTGCTCTGCTCATGCTCTGCTGTGTTCTGCTCTTGGCCTGACTGATGGTGTGCTGATCCCTCTGCGTGCTACCTGAGTAGCAGCAACCCGAGCACCACATTAAACGCACGCATCCATGCTTCGTTGATGTTGTTGTCTGTCACTGGGGGAAAGAAATGAATGGTGGATGTTCCGGGTGGATTGGAATGTTCTGCTTTTAATCGGATTGCATGGGGGCCATGGGTTTGGCTGGATGGATGGGAGGGGATGGAATGATCTGTTGCAGTTTTTGCAGTTCATGTGTCCGCGATACAAGCCCAGCAACGTGACGCCGATCCCTGACGGCTCTGATCCGTCTGCGTGCCCGCGCAGCATCCTGGGCGTGTATGACGACCGGGACTTCGGCTGGTGCGTTGCCCCTTCACGCCCTTCCCCACTCACACTCCTCACTCACACTCCTCACCTGCATTCCTCTCTCACACTCTCTCACTTTCCCTTAGCCGCTAGGTAGCCGTTTCTCACTCTCACTTGTCACCCCCACCCTCACCGTCACCTCTCTGTGTGAGCAGGGCGCACGGGTACAAGCGGCTGATGCACAAGGACCCGCTCAAGACGGTTTTCCTTGACGCCCTGGGCGCGCCCAAAGAGGACCCGCGGCGCGACCGAGGGGATGGCATTCAGGCCGTGGTGAGGGGAGGGGCGGGCAGGAGGAGAAGGGAGGCTGAATGTGTGTTCTTACAGTATTATGTCGGGTGCCGTTTGTAACTTGTGGTTGGATTGATAAGAGGATCCGTCCACCAGCCGTTGCTCTTCATTCAATTGCTCCCTCTAGCTGGTTCTCTGTCTCTGCTGTCTCTCTCTTCCACTTCACCGTTGCACACCCCTTTCTACCATTCGGTACCCTTGCCACCGTTGCCCCCTCACCCTCAGTACCACCTGAACGAGGCGCTGCCAGGTCAGCAGATAGACGTGTTCCTATTGGACGAGAGGTACTACCGGGAGAACCTGCCATGCCACGTGCGCCGCGATTTCTGCTCCTCCGTGATGGACCTTGGCAAGCCACACAGCTGGCGCTCGTGGAGAGGGGGAGTGGTTGAATTAGGGAGAAACCGGAGGGGGGAGGGTGAGGTGAGAGGAAGGGGAATGGGTAATGGAGTATAGTGATGGACCTTGACAGCCCACCTCGCATGCTACCACCCTCTCAAACCTGTCCTCAAACCTGACGTCAAACCTTACCTCAAACCTGACCTCAAACCTGACGTCAAACCTGACCCCAATCCTGACGTCAAACCTGACCTCAAACCTGACGTCAAACCTGACCCCAAACCTGACGTTAAACCTGACGTCAAACCTGACCTCAAACCTGACGTCAAACCTGGCGTCAAACCTGACGTCAAACCTGACGTCAAACCTGACCCTAAACCTGACCTCAAACCTGACGTCAAACCTGACAGCAAACCTGACGTCAAACCTGACGCTAAACCTCACGTCAAACCTTACCTCAAACCTGACCTCAAACCTGACGTCAAACCTGACCTCAAACCCTAAACCCGTTACCATTACGCACCCCCGTTACCATTACGCACCTCCGTTACCAGTACGCACCTCCGTTACCATTACGCACCTCCGTTACCATTACGCACCTCCGTTACCATTACGCACCTCCGTTACCATTACGCACCTCCGTTACCACTACGCACCTCCGTTACCATTACGCACCTCCGTTACCATTACGCACCCCCGTTACCATTACGCACCCCCGTTACCATTACGCACCCCCGTTACCATTACGCACCCCGTTACGCACCTCCGTTACCATTACGCACCCCGTTACCGTTACGCACCCCCGTTACCGTTACGCACCCCCGTTACCGTTACGCACCCCCGTTACCATTACGCACCTCCGTTACCATTACGCACCTCCGTTACCATTACGCACCCCCGTTACCATTACGCACCCCCGTTACCATTACGCACCCCCGTTACCATTACGCACCCCCGTTACCATTACGCAACCCCGTTACCATTACGCACCTCCGTTACCATTACGCACCTCCGTTACCATTACGCACCCCCGTTACCATTACGCACCCCCGTTACCATTACGCACCTCCGTTACCATTACGCACCTCCGTTACCATTACGCACCCCCGTTACCATTACGCACCCCCGTTACCATCACGCACCCCCGTTACCATTACGCACCTCCGTTACCATTACGCACCTCCGTTACCATTACGCACCCCCGTTACCATTACGCACCCCCGTTACCATTACGCACCTCCGTTACCATTACGCACCTCCGTTACCATTACGCACCCCCGTTACCATTACGCACCCCCGTTACCATTACGCACCCCCGTTACCATTACGCACCCCCGTTACCATTACGCAACCCCGTTACCATTACGCACCCCCGTTACCATTACGCACCCCCGTTACCATTACGCACCTCCGTTACCATTACGCACCTCCGTTACCATTACGCACCCCCGTTACCATTACGCACCCCCGTTACCATTACGCACCTCCGTTACCATTACGCACCTCCGTTACCATTACGCACCTCCGTTACCATTACGCACCTCCGTTACCATTATGCACCTCCGTTACCATTACCCACCTCCGTTACCATTACGCAACCCCGTTACCATTACCCACCTCCGTTACCATCACGCACCCCCGTTACCATTACGCACCCCCGTTACCATTACGCACCCCCGTTACCATTACGCACCCCCGTTACCATTACGCACCTCCGTTACCATTACGCACCCCCGTTACCATTAAGCCCCCCCGTTACCATTACGCACCTCCGTTACCATTACGCACCTCCGTTACCATTACGCACCTCCGTTACCATTGCGCACCCCCGTTACCATTGCGCACCCCCGTTACCATTGCGCACCCCCGTTACCATTACGCACCTCCGTTACCATTACGCACCCCCGTTACCATTACGCACTCCCGTTACCATTACGCACCCCCGTTACCATTACGCACCCTCGTTACCATTACGCACCTCCGTTACCATTACGCACCCCCGTTACCATTACGCACCTCCGTTACCATTACGCACCCCCGTTACCATTGCGCACCCCCGTTACCATTACGCACCCCCATTACCATTACGCACCCCCGTTACCATTACGCACCCCCGTTACCATTGCGCACCCCCGTTACCATTACGCACCTCAAACCTGACGTCAAACCTGACCTCAAACCCTAAACCCGTTACCATTACGCACCCCCGTTACCATTACGCACCTCCGTTACCAGTACGCACCTCCGTTACCATTACGCACCTCCGTTACCATTACGCACCCCGTTACCGTTACGCACCCCCGTTACCGTTACGCACCCCCATTACCATTACGCACCCCCGTTACCATTACGCACCTCCGTTACCATTACGCACCTCCGTTACCATTACGCACCCCCGTTACCATTACGCAACCCCGTTACCATTACGCACCCCCGTTACCATTACGCACCCCCGTTACCATTACGCACCTCCGTTACCATTACGCACCTCCGTTACCATTACGCACCCCCGTTACCATTACGCACCCCCGTTACCATTACGCACCTCCGTTACCATTACGCACCTCCGTTACCATTACGTACCCCCGTTACCATTACGCACCCCCGTTACCATTACGCACCCCCGTTACCATTACGCACCTCCGTTACCATTACGCACCTCCGTTACCATTACGCACCTCCGTTACCATTACGCACCCCCGTTACCATTGCGCAACCCCGTTACCATTACGCACCCCCGTTACCATTACGCACCCCCGTTACCATTACGCACCCCCGTTACCATTACGCACCCCTGTTACCATTACGCACCCCCGTTACCATTCCGCACCGCACCCCCGTTACCATTACGCACCTCCGTTACCATTACGCACCTCCGTTACCATTACGCACCCCCGTTACCATTACGCACCTCCGTTACCATTACGCACCCCCGTTACCATTACGCACCCCCGTTACCATTACGCACCCCCGTTACCATTACGCACCCCCGTTACCATTACGCACCCCCGTTACCATTACGCACCGCACCCCCGTTACCATTACGCACCTCCGTTACCATTACGCACCTCCGTTACCATTACGCACCCCCGTTACCATTAGGCACCTCCGTTACCATTACGCACCTCTGTTACCATTACGCACCCTCGTTATCATTACGCACCTCCGTTACCATTACGCACCTCCGTTACCATTACGCACCCCCGTTACCATTACGCACCCCCGTTACCATTACGCACCTCCGTTACCATTACGCACCTCCGTTACCATTACGCACCTCCGTTACCATTACGCACCTCCGCTACCATTACGCATCCCCGTTACCATTACGCTGTTAGTGTTAGCCCTCAATCTCACACTTTGTATTTTGCACTTTCTATATCCTAGCGTAGTGTAGTTTGCACTTTGTGTTTGGTTGAGTGTACACCCACATCCCAACCAAACCCAAATGTAATCTCCAAGCAATCTCCAACCCACCAATTGGAGATTGTCTTGGGATTACCCCCAATCCCTAGAGATTGTCCCAAATTCCCTTCCCCATCCATCCCTAGCTCATCCTGGATGTATTTAAAGAGTCTCGAGCTCATTACTAATGCATGGATTCTAAGCTCAAGTTTTGACCTTCAAACCTGACGTCAAACCTGACGTCAAACCTGAAGTCAAACCTGACGTGAAACCTGAAGTCAAACCTGACGTCAAACCTGAAGTCAAACTTGACGTCACACCTGATGTCAAACCTGACGTCAAACCTGACCCCAAACCTGACCTCAAACCTGACCTCAAACCTCACAGCAAACCTGACGCCAAACCTGACGTCAAACCTGACATCAAACCTGACCTCAAACCTGACGTCAAACCTGACGGCAAACCTGATGTCAAACCTGACGGCAAACCTGACGTCAAACCTGACCTCAAGCCTGACCTCAAACCTGACCTCAAGCCTTACCTCAACCTGATGTCAAACCTGACGTCAAACCTGACCTCAAGCCTGACGTCAAACCTGACGTCAAACCTGACGTCAAACCTGACGTCAAACCTGACGTCAAACCTGGCGTCAAACCTGACGTCAAACCTGACCTCAAACCTGGTCTCAAACCTGACGTCAAACCTTACCTCAAACCTGACGTCAAACCTGACGTCAAACGTGGCCTCAAACCTGACGTCAAACTTCAAACCTGACGTCAAACCTGACGGCAATGCTGACGTCAAACCTGACCTCAAACCTGACCTCAAGCCTGACCTTCAAACCTGACGTCAAACCTGACGTCAAACCTGACGTCAAACCTGACGTCAAACCTGATCTCAAACCTGGCGTCAAACCTGACGTCAAACCTGATCTCAAACCTGACGTCAAACCTGACGTCAAGCCTGACGTCAAACCTGACCTCAAACCTGACGTCAAACCTGACGTCAAACCTGACGTCAAACCTGACGTCAAACCTGACCTCAAACCTGATCTCAAACCTGACGTCAAACCTTACCTCAAACCTTACGTCAAACCTGACATCAAACCTGACGTCAAACCTGACCTCAAACCTGGCCTTCAACCTGACCTCAAACCCCACCCTCTCTCGCATTCAACCCCCCTCGCATTCAACCCCCCTCGCATTCAACCCCCCTCGCATTCAACCCCCCTCACATTCAACCCCCCTCGCATTCAACCCCCCTCGCATTCAACCCCCCTCGCATTCAACCCCCCTCGCATTCAACCCCCCTCGCATTCAACCCCCCTCGCATTCAACCCCCCTCGCATTCAACCCCCCTCGCATTCAACCCCCCTCGCATGCGACCCCTCTCACATGCGACCCCCTGGTCGTCCAGGTATTGTGTGCCCTCATGCAGCGACAACCCCTTGCTCCTCTGTGCTCTTCTGACCGTCCACGTCTGTAGCTTGAATGGTTTGTTCCATTCCCGTGCATGCGTGCAGGTGCGGGGACTTTCTAGGCCGGGAGGTGCCTCGGAATCGGTGATCGTGCTGTGACAAGGACGAGAAACTCTTCCAAGGTGAGGTTGTAACGAGGATGAAAAGCTGTCTCAAATTCTCTTGGTATCGAACAAGGATGTGAAAGCTTCTTGGAAGGCCCTTAAGCCTTAGCCCAAAACCTTAGCGAATGGAATGCAAAGCCTGCAAACACTCGTGCAGCTTGACACCTACCCTCGAGACTAATGCTTTTATAGCAACCTCCGTAGCTCCCCCTGTCTCCCTCTCTCTTCCCTCTCTCCCTCTCCTACCTTCCGCCATGTCCCGGCTTTGCCTCTCCCCTCCCCTCCTCCTCCCCCCTCTGGCACAGAGCAGAGTGGTGCGGGCACGAGGCGCACCGCAACCACTCCCGGAGGGAGGAGACTCTGGTCTCTCAAAGCAACCTCCAAAGCCCTTTCCCCCTCTCCCCCATCCCCCTCCCCCCTCTGGCACAGAGCAGCGTGGTGCGGGCACGAGGCGCACCGCAACCACTCCCTATGGGAGGAGGCGTGCAGTCCAGCGCACGATGCATTCGGGTCGCAAAAGATCAGCGTGCGCAAGAAGGGCAAGGACCCTGCTCTCTGGGACATATACATCGAGGAGCAGCCGGAGCCGCATAATTCCCAGTACTGTGAGGTGCTGGGGCGGCAGCAGCGCCTGTGGCTGCAGGACGAGGTGCATGATTCGAATGCGCCGATCAAGATCATTGTGTCGCCCTCGCCGCTCTTCACGAATCCGATGCCGCAGCCCTGCTCGCCGTTCCCGAAGCAGCTCTCCACTGCTGCCACGCTTACCGGGCCGTATGGGTCCGAGCCTCCTGATGAACCGGATTTTGCAGGCTCGGCAGCAGCAGCAGCAGCACCTTCTGGTGCCTATGGTTCGGTTTCCGAGCCTCCTTCTACGTCCGTTCCGCCTGTGGCGCCGGTTACGGAGGACCCAGTTACCAACGTAACACAGTGCACGTGCTCGGGGGACGACTGGGAGTGTTACAAGCCGGCACAGCTGCACTTTCTGGAGATGCTCTCGCGGGTGGAAAAAGGGTGTGTGGTGCTGCTGACAGGCGACATGGGGTACTCAGACATCAAGGTAGGGCTTTAAACAGATGTGATTGTTTCTGTCGATCCTGATTGGTGTTAGGCACTAGCAGCCGGTGGTTTATTCTGTTGAGGCCGCATGACTCGTTCCTGAGTAATCTTCTTCCCTGCTTGTGTTGTGTGGTGCTTGCATGCCTGCTTACTTGCGTGCATTCCTGCGGGGGGCACCAGGTGTTCCGGCCGGGGCCAGGGCGGGCATACACGGATCTCTACCGCAGCTCACAGCATTATCGCCCCATCTACCAGGTCTGTCAGCCCCGCATGCTTCACCCTTGATTTGACTCGGAACTTTATTGCGCCTTGCAGCATCTACCCCCACGCGCCCCGCCTGTTTTGCATCGCGTATAGTTTCTGTGATGCCAATGCCGTCTTTTTGTTTCTGTCTTGTCTGAATTGGCAGGTCATGGCAAGCGGATTGACAAGGAGGCCACGAATAGACACGTCCTGCAATCCAGGTGAGTCAATATGATGGCAGAGTGAATCAGTTTGGAGTCAAGGCAATCAGTATGCAGTCCAATTAAGTCAATCTTTGGTCAAGCGAGTCAATCTGCCGTCGAACGAGATTCCGATGATCCAGCTGGTTCGGGGTCTCATTCCCGGCATCACCAACCCCATGACTTGGCTTGGGCATCACCAACCGCATGACTTGGCTTGGGCATCACCATCTCTTTGACCCACCCAGGCCCCTCCCATGGTTCCGCTGTTACCCTCTCTAGTCAGACTATCACCTCGGAAACACATCTCTTTTGAGAGCGTATTTCCGAGGTGCCTCAAAAACAGAATCATAGGAGTGGGAGGGAGCATGCAGCTTCTTTGGAGTGCTCATTCCCTATGGCTGTGTGTCTGTGTGTGTGTGCGTGTGTGTGTGTGTGCGTGTGTGGGTGGGCAGGCAACGCGTGGACGCATGACCCTCTCAAGATGCGGCACCCCTCTGAGTGCTCCATTGCCCCCGCCCCCTCCTTTGGCATGGTGGAGGTGAGTGCTGGTGCGGGGTGGATGTGCTGCTGTGGTGCGACAATTAAGGTAAACGACCATGTACTACACTAAAATTTTCTCTAGCTTCGCGTTGGTGGAGGAGGTGGGTTCTTGTCAAAGATTTAGCTCACATTGTTCTCTCAAGTAATCTCTTGTTTGTCCCGTTTCCCCACCTTGTGCAGGTGGACTGGGATAGAGAAAAGTTGGTGAAGCTACAAGTGAGGGACGGAGATACGAGTCAAGTTAGAATAGAGCTTGTGTTGGAGTTGGCCGAGTGCCTAAACCATTGATGAGTAAAACAGCAGGTCAGATTTGCAAGCCCTTGAAATATAATATTGATATTTCTAGTATATAAAGTATTATTTCATTCCTAGCAATTTCGCCTTCACCGATACTGGACCAGCCTTGGCGCATCTGCGGTTATCACGACTTCTCTGTCGGGTCCTCCTGAAGCGCGTATTCGGGATCTGATCTGACACAGAGCAAAGCCCACTCACCATCTGTCGCCATCAGTCAGACTCGCAATGGAAGGTGACTACTAGACGCGACACCATCAGTTACGGTACTCCCCATCGAGTTCCTTCTCGAGCGTTCGCCGAGCATTCTTCTAACGATCTCGAAGGATTTTTCAAGGGTTTGGAGAATCTTGGAGGACCGTCGAGAACAGCACTGGGATGTTCTTGTAGGCATGCAGCGTCACCTCGTCTCGCGCGCAGCCTCACGCTCCCTTCGCTTTCGACGACAGCAAGGCAGCAGATGGGGCGTTACGATTAGCCGTACGAGCCACGTGGCACGGGATGAACCGGTACATGATACCGCACAGCTGAATACGTGCTTTCCCCCAGCCGGGTACGCAAGCGCTGTTCTTCCGCCTGCATGGCTTCCGCCCAGTGGCGCGCCTACTGGGAGCGGCGGGATTTTCCGCCGAGAGTACAGTTTGCGGGACTTAGAGGTCCGGGGGCGGCGGGGATTGGCGAGTGCTGCGGAAGCTGCGCCAGCGGCGGATGCGAACGAGGTGGCGCGGATGGCGGAAGCTTCCGCGGAACGTGCGCCAGAGGCTGCGGCGGGGGAGAGAGACTTGGAGAAACACGGGGCGCAGACGCGCGCAGAGGGCGGTGGGCGGAAAGGGGGGGGCAAAGGCGGGGGAAGCGGGTGGTGGGAGGCGGAGGAGAGGCGGAGGCAGAAGCGCGTGCCAGCGTGGGTGTTCGGGGAGTTCGAGCATCCCATCCGACGTGGCGGCCTGCCGTTGCACGCGTGGATCGCGTTCAAGGTTCTCAAAGATGCCGGTGCGCGCCCCTACCTCGTCAACTGTCCTATCTCCCTCTTCCTCGTTCTTTTCCACTCCCTCTATTTCCCGCTTCTCATCTGCTCTTTCCTGTCCTTCTCCCTCCTTCGCCTCCCCCTTTTGCCCATTCGTTTATCCAACTCATGAACCCGAAACCTTGCACTCTTAAACCCCGAACCCAGGCCTGGAACCCTACCTGGTGGGCGGCGCAGTGCGCGACCTCTTTTTGGGGCGCATTCCCAAGGACGTGGACATCATAGTGGACGCGTCACCCGCCCACGTGGCACGTGTGTTCCGTGAGCGCAAGTTCCGCCCCGTCGTGATTGGCCGCCGCTTTCCCATCTGCCGAGTCTTCCTAAAAAACGCCGTCGTGGACGTGAGTGGCGGAAGGAGGAGGGGAAGGGGGGTAGGGTGGGGGGGAGGTGGGGAAGGGGAAGTGGGACGTGAGAACGCCGCTTCCCCATCTGCCGCGTGTCCTAAAAAATGCCGTCGTGGACGTGAGTGGAGGAAGGTGGGGGAGGGGGGTGGTGTGTGGGTGCAAGGATCGTTGATGTGACTGAAAAATGGAAGGCGGGTGGTCGTGGACGGGAGTGAGGGGAGGGAGGTGTGAGTGGTGCCGAGGGGAATGGTTTGGGTGTGTGAGTGTGGGTGGGGCAATGGATTTGTAGGCGCGAGTACATGTGAGTTGGGGGTTCTGTGGTTGTGATGTGAGGTGGTGGGATGGGACTTGTGAGTGGGTGTTAACCCACCTCCTAAATTCGTGCACACTCACTCATCTGTACAGTTGCTTCTGCTTCTCATGTGCGCGCATGTATTCATTGTTCATCTTGCATGCATGCGTCCAGTGCATCTGCCCATCCATCCGTTCATCCATGCACAACTGTGATACCACCCCATTTCTCCGTGTTGCTCCTCCTGCGATTCGTACGAGTGCAGATTTCCAGTTTCGACAGTGAGCCAACCGCGGTGATTTCCCCTGCTGTGTCCTCAAAAGACGATGCACTCCTGGCAGCACCGGCCGCTCAGCCCCCCTCTGTTTTAGAACCAGAACAGCTTGCAGCAGCAGCAACAACAGCAGGGGAAGACGGGAGCACAGATGGGAGCACCACCAGGGCTGCAAACGGGGCACAGGAAGCAGGGGGGTTGGAAGGGAGGGAGCGCTGGGAGGAGGTAGATCTAGTGAAGGTTTTATCTGTGGAGTCAGATGGATGGGCAGAAGAGGAAGGGGAGGAGGGGGAAGGGTTGAGGGCAGAAGGGGGTGCAGCAGAAGCAGCGCAGGAGGGGTTGGGTGAGGAGCGGGATCCTGCTGCTGCTGCACGTGCTGCTGCTGATGTTAGGATTGCTGGGGCTGCTGCAGCAGCAGGTATTGATGGTGCCGCTGCGGATCCCGGAACCACCACTGGTGGCGCTGCTGCTGTTGCTGCTGATGAGGGCACTAAAGCTGGCGGCGCTGCAGCAGCGGAGGTGGAGGCTTTGTGTCAAAAGGAGTCGGATGGGGTTCAGGTGGACTGGAGGAGCACGGCAGTGCGGCCAGCGGTGCAGCGGCATGCGTACGTGTGGTCGGAGGGGGACGAGCGGCGGTGGCGTAACTCCATGAAGCGCGACCTCACTGTCAATGCGTGAGCTCTCTCTGCTGCTGGGGTGTTGTGCTGGGGTGGTGGTGCTGCTTCAGTGATGATTGTAAGGCGCAGTGCTGGGGTGACAGTTGTAATTTTTGGAAAAGGCATGGCATGGCAACTGCTTGCTTTGGACTTGTTATTGTAGGGCGATGTTGAGAATTCAAAAAAACGACCGACAACAAAATGGAGATGGGATGGCAACAGCACGCTTTGGTGCTGTCCTGCTCAAATCAAATGCAACTCAAATGGTCGTTCCTCCTGCTCCCACCCCCTCCGTGCAGCCTGTTCTTCGACCCGCATCGGCACATGCTCTTTGACTATGTGGGGGGCACCCGTGACCTCTACAAGCAGACCGTGAGTGCCCTTGCCTGCTTCCACGAGCATTGAGGTGTATTTCGACGCGCCTCAAAATACACCTCTTTGACTATGTGGGGGGCACCCGTGACCTCTACAAGCAGACCGTGAGTGCCCTTGCCTGCTTCCACGAGGGCTGCGTTCGCTTCTCTCTGCTTTGAATCCTCCCCTTTGCCCTCCCCTCCCGCCTCTCATCTGTACTCCTTTCTAGCATGAGATTGTGATTCCCTTTTTGTCGCTCTGCTGTTGTATGTCTCTCTGCTGTTGCTCATCTGTCTGTTGCCAACGTGCCATCCATCAGGTGCGAGTCATTGGAGACACGCGAGCCAGCTTCCAGGAGGACCCTGGTGAGCTGCTGCAGTCAAGTCAAGTCAAGTCAAGTCAAGTCAAGTCAAGTCGACCATCCTTGTGCTCTCTCTTGTCTTTTATACCCCGCTTCTGCATTCACTGCTTCGTGGCAACGTTTCCGATGTTGAAGCAGGCAGAGTGAGAAGCGCAAGGAGAGGCACACAGCACAGCGCGCCATGAATGGCCTCCTGAATACCTTGCCTTCCCCGCTCGTCCCCCTCCCTTCACCGCTCCCACCAGCGCGGGCTTTAACACCTTCCCAAACACCCTCTTTCCTTCCCGCCCCCCTCCCCGTCATTGCGCCCACCAGCGCGGTGTGTGAGGGCCATTCGCCTGGCAGCGCGTCTGGGCTTCCGTCTGAGCACGGGGGCGAGCCGAGCTCTCAAGGCGCCCTCCACCCTGCCCGCTGTCGCCACTCTACCTCAGGTGCTTCCACGCTCAATCAGGTGCTGCCACGTGCCTCCCTGCAATCACTCTCACGCATCGCTTTGTTCGGCCATCTCTCTCCTCTGCCTACTCGCAGTTTCCCTGTCTCTTGCATCTCTATCCCGCTTGCCAGTTTCGTAGTCTCATGTCATCTCCTGTCTCACCATCTTCCCTCCGTTATTCCCCTTGCCTCCATCCTCTCCTGCTCTCTTTCTATTCCCAGTCTCGCCTGCAAATGGAGCTGGTGCAGTTGATGTCCCACGGCGCATCTGAGCCGTCCATTCGCTTGCTCTGGCAGTTCAACCTGCTCCCTCTGCTGCTGCCGTTACAGGTAAGTGCTGCCTGCTACTGCCTGGTACTTGCTGCTACTGCCTGCACCAGAGACTACCTCCACTGGTGGCAGTCCCTTCCCTCTCCTGCTCCCAACCCAACCCCTCTTTTTCGGTGCCCCTCCCTCCCGCCCGTCTCTCCCCACCAGGCGCAGTACCTGCGGGCAAAGAAGTTCTCTCAGAAGGCAATGACAGACCGACCCGACCTCATGTTTGTAAGCCCCTCAACAACGACATTCCCGTGTGCCTGTGTGTGCCTGAGTTCCCGTGTGCCCAACTCGACAGTCAGCTGTTTTTCAGCTCGCACCCCTCTCAAGTACCATCATGATCAGCTGCTCTCAGCAAGATCCTTGCACTCTTCCCTCACCCTCCCGCCTCCCGTTCTCTCCCATTCCTCACCCTCCTAGCTCCCATTCCTCATCCTCCGAATTTCCTTCCCCTGCTGGCCTGTGCTGCCCTGCCTGCTTCCTTGGCGTTCCTGCAGGACTTGTTACACGAGCTGGACGCACTAGTGCAACCAGACAACCCATGCCACCCATCCACGTGGCTCTCCCTCCTCGCGCTCCACCTGGCGGCCTCTGAGTTGCCGAACCACCTCCGTCCTCTCGCCCTCCTGACAGCTGTCCTTGCCGCCCACCCCTCCTGTCCGTCCGCTCGGATTGCGGCACGTGTCGCCATCTCCTTTGCCCAGTCCTCCCATCCAAACCTGTGCCAGAGGCTCGGTATTCAGGGTCTGACCTGGTCGGCTGGGGAGACGCCGAGCCTGACTGGTGAAGGCTTGAGGGAGAAAGAAGGTAGGATTGGGCCAAAGCAACAGGACGGACAGATAGGAGAAAACATTTATGATGGACGCATTGGAGGAGAAGAGGAAGCGGGAGGAGGGCAGTGGGCAACAGAGGGAAGCAAGGGGATGGAAGAAGAAGGTTGGGAGGGATTTAGGGAGGTGGAGTGGGGAGGAGAGGAGGGGATGGAGGGGGTGGGGAGAGGGGATGTGGCGAGGGTGGTGAGGGGGGCTGTGGGGGCTCTGAGGGCGAGGAGGGAGGCGGTACTGCAGGAGCTGGCAGTGGTGGAGGGGCAGCTGGGGGAGGTGGTATCTGAGATGATGCTCCGAGGGGGGGGGATTGGCAGGTTCGCTGCTAGACTTGAGGGGGCAGGAGAGGGGGGAGGGGAGGGGAAATGGGAGGGGGATGGGGAGAAGGGGGAGACACAGGAGCGTAGGCAATCGATTGAAAATCTGAGGTTACTTCTTTCAAAAGAGGGAGGTAGAGGAGAGGCAGAGGGGGGAGGCGGGGCAGCAGGGCAGGTGTTAACGCCTGACTTGGCATCAGCAGTGGCTGAGAGCCTGGGAAGAGTGCGGGCGTGGGGGCAGCAGTGGAGAGAGGAGCAGCAGATGCTGAGTGATGTGGGCCAGTTGCTGGTCGCACTGGAGGGCACGGGAGGGATGAGCGGAATGGGGGAAGTGAGGACGGATTGGGGGAGAGGAGGAGGTATGGGAGAGGATGGATGCGAGGGGGATGAGGGGAAGGCGGGGGAGGGTAGGGGGGGTGAATCTGTGGTGGTAGGAACAAAGGAAGGCTCTAGTGGTGATGGTGTGAGTGATGGTGGTGAGTGTGACAGTAGCGAAGGGGAAGAAGGGGTGGTGTCTGCTTCTGATGCTGCGGCTGAAGCGCATGGCAGTGGCAGGCAGCAGATAGCAAGAAAGAAGAAGCAGGCGTGGAGGCCTACCACAGAGGAAGATATTATCCGGGCGGCATCTCTTGTAAGCAAGTGTGATCCCATGCTCCCCTCTTACAATTTCTTGGCAACATCTCCCTCCCAGTCCCATCCTCTCGTGTTTGTTGCTCGTGCAAGTCTGCTCGTGCAAGTCTGCTCGTGCAAGTCTGCTCGTGCAAGTCTGCTCGTGCAAGTCTGCTCGTGCAAGTCTGACTCCGAAATGTTTATATCCACCCCCTCCTGTCTGTGTGTCCCCAGCTAGCAGTGAGGGCGTCACAGCATGTGCACCACATGGTGGATGACAGGCTGCTCACATGCATGTGTCTCCCCCTCTTTTCGTGTTCATCCTCTGCCCTTATATGTCTTTAACCAACCCCTCCTCCCCGTGTGCAGCTAGCAGTGAGGGCGTCACAGCACGTGCACCACATGGTGGATGACAGGCTGCTCACATGCATGTGTGTCTGTGCCCCCCTCCTCATGTTCTTTCCTCTGCCCTTCCATCCCTGCCCCTCCCCGTGACTGTGTGTTGGCAGCTAGCAGTGAGGGCATCACAGCATGTGCACCACATGGTGGATGACAGGCTGCTCTCAGCAACACTGCACGACCTCACTGGCTTGGAGCGCCATGACAATGTACGAATGTGTGTGATGTGCTGTGCTCTTTCACTGCCATTTCTGTCTAGCTTTTCATTCTTATGTTTTGCTGAGCCTATGCATGCACTGCTTTTCCATGGGCTTTGCTGGTCGATTTTCTTGCTGAAACATCGTCAGGGAGCTTGGTATTTTCCTCTTAGCTTCCATCCCTCCTCTTATTTGCATTGCTGCTCTTGGATCAATCAGGTGTTCATACAGTACAAGGTGGCGCAATCCACTCATCAGCTTTTCCACGAGATCATATGCAAGTCGGAGGTCAATGAGGACGACCACGCGCTATTGCACTTGAAGTCCAAGTCACTCCAAGTCCTTTCGGACGGTCTTGGAGGCAGTGGAGATGATCCCCGTGATGTAGAGCAAGTGAAGGAGCTGCTTTCTCCGTTGAAGCCGGAGCAGTTTAGTAGCATCAAGTTTGATTTGAATGAGGTGGCCTCCATTCTGGTGCATGTGGTGTCAAGCGCTGCTTTTTTAGAACGTAAAGAGACAAACAAGCTCGCCCGTAAGTGAGTAGCTTTGTGTTTAGATGCTTTTTAGTGCAAAAAGTGTTTAAAAATCAGCATAGAAAATGCATGTTACGTATGCTGGCAAAAGTAAGGTTTCTCTTCAATCTTCGCAAAAGTTTCGCGCCAGTCGTCAAAGCGAAACTTCTGACAACGGGGTTGTTTCAGTGCTGGTGCTAGTCCTTCGTTTCCCGCTTCTGCATCTCAAGTTTTTCACAAGCTCGTGGTGTGACACTCCAGAAAAGCAAGCCGTTGCGTGGTAGTTTTGCGAAACGGGTGGTGCGGTGCGGGCGGATGTTCCGAAATCAACGTTTGTCGTCCGTTTGATCCGTCCATGGAGATCGACTTGCAGCAGCCGCTTGCTGCCGGCAATTCTGCCGGTAGCGCTGACGTCGTCCGTCTGGTTGCGGCGGAGCATCAACGGATTCTGGTACGCAGATTTCCGGCCGTCTTCGAGTCGACTCGAAAGACTAGGACCCCTGTTCCCAAGTGGAACGGTTATATTTCTCTGGTAGACAGAGCGACGGCGACTTTGCGAACGTTAGCGTCAGTCTGTTCGTGCAGGCGAGCCAGTGGATCCTATAGCTTGACATCGATGCTGCGAATGTAGCGAAATTTGCGAAGCTCGCGAAGGGTGCGAAGGCTGACAGCCGTTCGGTGGTGATATGGGGCTCAAGAACGCGATCGCGGAATGTCGAGAGCCTACGAAGCGGTCTTCGTTGATCATCCTCACGTCCGTCGTCGAACTAGCAAGGTCCTTGAGGCGTCGTACGAGGCGAGATTCTTACCCGTCCCCACCCCCCTCCCCTTCCCCTCCCCCAGGACGCCTTCCGCAAGGCCTTGGATTCCCCGCTCCCCCCCAGTCATCTGGCGCTGCCAACCCTAGCGGAAGCGCTGCAGCTGGGGGGGAGTGGGGGGAGCGGTGCGGGAACCGGCAGCGCAGCCGCGGGGACGACCTTGCCAGTAACCACACGCCCCTCTGTTGTAACCATCCTGTGGCTCCTGAATGTATCAGGTCCTGGTATTACTCCATTATTGCTGCTCCACCCTCCTTTTCCTTGTGGAATATTGTTGGTATTTTTTCAGTGCTAGTTGTATGCCTTCTCTTTGGTTCATATTTTTGTTGACCCCGTCGTCCTCGTTATTGAATGCATCGTTATCGTCCGCATCTTTCTTGTGTGTGCTACTGGGCAGAAGGAAGGCAAGCTGACAGCGGAGCAGAACCAGCTGCTGGAGATCGGCCTGCGGTCGCTGCTGCAGAGCCTCGTGGTGAGAAGGGCTGCTGTGAGATGCTGTGTGCTGTGCGGTGAAAAGGGTTGTCGCGAGGCTCTGAGAAGCGAAATGCTGCGAGTCAAAATGTCAGAAAATGTCCCCCCTCCCCCCAGAAAAAAGGTTTATCCGTTGTTTCCCACCCCATGTTATCCACCCCACTACTGCTGCCCCGTTTCACCCCGTCCGTTCCATACCCTCACCCCCACCCTCCTGTCACCTTCCGGCACCACTGCTGTTGTGAAAGCAGGAGAGTGCGGCAGCACAGGGCGTGTCAGTGCTGAGTTACAGCCCCACAGGCCCGCCTGGTGTGCCAGGCAGCTCAGCCGCCGTCATTCGCCTTCTCGGTGAGTTGGATGGCTGCTCCCTGTGTGAAGCGTCTCTCCTCTTATACTCTGCGTCTGCCAGACCCAGGTCACGATTTGCCATTCTTCCGCGTGTCAACTCCACTCTCGTCACACGCCGCTTTTTGTCCTCTTTACCATCCCATCCTTGCTTCCCCACCCCAACCCATCCCGCCCCACCCCACCCCACATTCACCAGACGTGGTGCTGCATCTGTGCGAGGCGGGGCGCATGGAGGGAGGGGTGGTGTTCCAGCTGTTGGAGGACCTCATGGACCAGTCGCCCATCGCCCACTGCCACCTCGTCTTCTCCTACATCGAGTCAAAGCAGCACGTGCTCGCCAAGGTGACAAGGTCTCGTCGGCTCACAAACATCTGTGTCTGGTCTCGTCTCGACTTCACTAGGCACGATTTCATGTCGCCCATTGCGGAGTCACCTCGTCTTTTCCTACATTGAGTCCAAACAGCACGTCCTGGCCAAGGTCTCGTGTTGTCTCTAGGCGCCTCTAATAGCTGGGGGAATCATGGTTCCTACAACCATGGACGAGTGTCACCTCGTCTTCTCCTAAATCGAGTCCTCGCCAAGGTCTGATCCATTTTTTCGGGCCCTTCGAGAACACTCTCTTTCATTCGATACGAATAGCAAATCCTTGCTAAGGTCTCGCCTTGCTGTCCTGTCTCGTCCCCATACATTGCGCCACACACACACTTCCGCTGCTCGCTCTTCCTACTACCCGCCACAGGAGCACATCCTGCAGCGAGGCAAGCTGGTGCTGCTGCACGCGTGCAACCAGCTCGTGTGGCAAGGTGACTGGTAACTTACTCAGTGCAATCCTTCACCTCTCTCTGCTGCTCTCTCCCCCAACCCCCCTCATCCCCCACAGGAGCACATCTTACAGAGAGGCAAGCTGGTGCTGCTGCGAGCGTGCAACCAGCTCGTGCGACGGCTGTCTAAGGTGAGGGCAGGACAGAACAGCGCAGGGAGGCGAGTGAGGGGCGTGTAAGGTGAGGGTGAGTGAACGGAGGTGACAGAGGGAGGGCTTGCGCTGTGGGTGAGGGCAAGTTGGTCTAACTGGAACCCATTCCCACCTTGCTTCTCCATGTGTGGATGTGCGTGCGTGCGTGCGTGTGTGTGTGTGTGTATGTATGTATGTATGTATGTATGTATGTATGTATGTATGTATGTATGTATGTATGTATGTATGTATGTATGTATGTATGTATGTATGTATGTATGTATGTATGTATGTATGTATGTGCGTGCATCTGCTGTATGCGTGCATATTCTGTGCGTGCATGCATGCATGCGTGTGTGTGTGTGTGTGCGACCCTGCAGGCGAACGATCTGGTGTTCTGTGGGCGGGTGCTCATGTTCCTCGCTTACTTCTTCCCCATCGCTGAGAAATCAGGTCTGACTTACTGCAGCACTGCTCTTCAAACCTCTCTGCATTCGTCCATTAGTGCCCCCTCTCACCTTTCTTCTCAATTTACTTCATTCTCTCGAATGGCCCTTTCATTGATTATCATAGGACTTACAGGCATGCAAGGTGGTAGCTTTTGTGAGTCTGGTGCATAAAGCCTCTTACTACTCTCTCTCACGGTGCCACGTTCTCTCCTGTATATATTCTCATGCTCCCTCAATCTCCTCACTCACCTGCCCCTCTCCCCCCACCAGCGGTGAACATCAAGGGCGCGTTCAACACGTCGAATAAGACCGACTACGCTCGAGAGCCCCCCCAAGATGGTGAGATCACAGGCCTGAACCCGGGAGTCTGGAGATGGTTGGATGGTGAGATCATAAGCCTGAGCCCGGAAGTCTGAAGATGGTGGGATGGTGGGATGGTGGGATGGTGGGACGTGAATAGCATTCTCCGAGTTCTAGTAGACCGAGGCGCTGGTCTTGTGCAGATCCATTCAAGTGAGGCTGTACTGCCAGTGCTGTCTCTACTGTTGCTGTGCTGTGCTGTGCTGTGCGCCCAACGCTCTTTCCTAAGTTGTGTTCTTGGCTCCTTTTCTCTCTCTCTCTCATCCCTCTCGTTCTCGTGCTCCCTCTGCGTGCGCAGGAGGCCCTCTCCTGGAATTCACGTTCTACACCACCTTCTGGAGCTTGCAGGTGCGTGCGCTCACCCGTGCGCTCACCCGTGCGCTCACCCGTGCGCTCACCCGTGATTTGCGCAGGACCTTTTTCGTGGAAATCTTTCTACGTGCAAGCTTACAAACAGCGTATTGTTTTTTCAGTAGCTTTGTGGGCAGCGACCAACTAGGCTGTCTACCAACTGCCCTCTCCACCTTCCCCAATTCCCTCCCTCCTGTCGTCCCTCCCCACCTCCCTTTCTCCTTCCTCTCCGGAAATGCTTCCCCAACCTGAGTGGCATAGATTTAGTCCACTCTCGCTGCTCCCTCCCTCTCTTTGCTGCCTCCCCCACCCTTTCCCCCCACCCTTTCTCCCCCACCCTTTCCCCCCACCCTTTCCCCCCGCACCAGGAGTATTTCAGCAACCCGGCTGTAGCACTACCCAAGTGGGCCGTATTCTCGTCACACCTGCGCACCGTTCTTGACACCTTCGAAGCCCAGCCCCTGGGCACTGACGCTGATCCAGGGGCAGAGGCAGGGACGGGCGCAGGGGATGAGGCAGGCGCAGGGGCAGGCGAGGAAGGAGGAGCAGACGGAGCAGGTTTAGGGGCAGGAGGGGCCAGGGAGGGAGGAGAGCGGGGAGCAGGGGGAGCAGGGGGAGCAGGGGGAGCAGGGGGAGCAGGGGGAGCAGGGGGAGCAGGGGGGGTGGGGGAGGCGGTGGGGGAGATGCTAGGGGCGTACAGCATGAAGTATCTGACGAGCACAAGCCTGCTGCAGTTGGAGCTAAGGGATGGCAGCTTCCGACGCCAGTTCCTTGTGCAGTGCCTCATCCTGCTAGAGTATCTTATGGTGAGTTTGGCCCGGTGTTGTCCGGTGTTGTGTGGTGCTGTTCCCTGCTGCGCAGTGCTCTGCGCTGTAGAGTGTGAAGGGGCCACCAACTCACATTTCTATCCTCTCTGACTGTGCTGCTGTGCATGTGCGAGGTGCAGATTCCAGGGAAGGCAGAGAAGGATGAGAAGCGAGAAGCCATGGTAAGTGTTTCCTGTGTGAGCCCTCTTCCTCCCAGTCATGCACTCCGTTCCGTTGTCTCTCAACCAACCACACTCTCTTCCATCTCAGACGTTGTTCCCACTCCCCTGCGTTGCCTGCTGGTTGCTCAGAGGGCGGAGGCCAGGGAGTTTGAGGCACGAGTGAAGAAGCTTTTGAGAAGGTTACCGCCGGGCGGCGAGGACTTTCTGACGTCTGTGGAGCATGTGATGCGGCGGGAGAAGCACTGGGTGCGTGCGGGGAGGTTGAGAGGGGGGAGTAAGAGGGGTGTTGTGAAAAAAAACAAGTGTGGGAAGAGGGGGGTACAGGTGGAGGTTGAAGGGGGTGGGGTTTGGAGGGGAAGGGGAGGAGATATGAAAGTTTATAAATTCATAAAACTTATCGTTTTTGTTCGCTGAATAGCTTTATTTTTTATTGATTTCTTTGTGCACAAACCCGTACCATGGTCGTCTTAGACTGCATTCACATCTCCAAATCTACTCTGAACCGCATTGCACCCCTGCCAGGTGGCGTGGAAGAAGGAGGTGTGTCCGCCGTTCGACCGGCCCCCAGCTGACCTCACTCCCCGCCGGGACCCAACCCCCAAAAGGTATCTCCCCCTTGCCTAGTATGACCCGTTTGCCCTGAGACTCTGAGCACTGCCATCCCCTGGAGATCCTCGCTCGCTTTCCTGATGGGTCCGCTTCACAAGGCTTTCTCTCCTTCTTCTCACCCCCCCAGGCCGCGCTACCTGATGGGAAACAAGGAGCTGGACCGGCTCTTTCGATGGGCTGACAAGCACCCTGTGAGCCCTTCTCCCTCCTGCCCCTCCGTACCCAGCAATGGTTTCTTTTTCCTACCCTGGTCCTCATTTTCGACGAGCTCTGCTCTCTGTTCAATCTGCCTGCACCCAGCGCCCTCTAGTCTCTCATTCCGGAACCGTCGCAAACCCCTCTTTGCATCATCCATCGCTCGCCCCTCACCACCTCTCCCTTTGCCCATGGCCCCCCTAATTTCCCACTGCTGCCCCTCGTCCCAGGACGCCTTGCCAGACCCAGAGCAGGTGGCAGTGCCGGCGTTTCGAGACTTTATTCAACCGCTAGCTGATGATGTGAGTCATGTGAGAGAGCGGCTGATGATGTGAGTGTGGCTGGCAATGGTGTTTGCTGCATTCGGCAAGTATTCTTGGGCTTCCACGCAGTGTGCTTGGACAGTGGGAGCCCAGCCCAGCCTAGCTATTTCGTTTGCTCTATCAACGCCCTTGTCTCCACTCGCCTTCGTGCTGGAAATTTCTGGGATTGGGTTGCCTCTCGCTGCGATTCTGTTGTGTCGTTGCCATGCCACAAGCCCCTTTCTCTCTGCCCGCGTGCTGCTTGTGTGGCGTGTGTGAGCGAGCAGATGGACCCCGAGAATTGCATAGAGGCGGAGTACCACCGGACGAATGACAAGGTGAGAGGCAGCACGGGCAGCACGGGTAGTGGGAAAAGCAGCAGCAGCAGCAGCAACAGAGGCTGGAGTGGTAGAAGGGTTATGAGGGGCGGAGTGGGTGGTGGCTGTGTGGGAACGTGCATCGTTCAATCTCTTGTCTTCCTTGACCTGTTTCCACCCTCTTCCCCATGTGTATGCACCTCTCTCCATCTCCACCTTGTGTCTCACTTGCCCCCTCTCTCCCAATATGCACCCCTCCCTCCCATGTGCCTCTCTCCTACCCCATACCCCGCTCCGTACCATCACGCCGTGCAGGTCTTCTGCTGGAGGGCCTTGCGCCTCGCTGCACGGTCCGACATCGAGGCCTTCAACAGGGTGAGCTGCCTTGCCCGTGCCCTTATTGGGGTGCACTGTTGGTGCGCACAGAACCGAGTTCAAAGTCTAGGGTTCAGAGCTTAGGGTTTCAGGTTTTGGGTTGTCGTGCTTGCCCCGCTCCTTTTCCTTTTTCTCTCTCCAGTTGGCGATCTGGGCAAGGAGGGAGTGGTGCCACCACACATGTGTAGGTTGCACAAAAGCACAGCTCCCCACCCTCTGCTCCCACGCCCCCTTTCCTTTCTCACACTCTCTTTCCTTTCCCACGCCCCCTTTGTTTTCCCACGCCCCCTTTCCTCTCCCTCGCTCCAGTTTGGCGATCTGGGCATGGAGGGGGTGGTACCACCAGACATGCTACCAGATGAGGTGCGGGTGAGGCTGCACAAGAGCAAGCCCAAGAAGGACTCCCACGGCGATAGAGACGCGGCCAAAGATGCCAGTAAAGGGTCTGCTAATAAAGAGGCTGCGGCCGATGCAGGGAAGGAGTCTGTAGCTGGTAGCGCCCTGCCTGCTGCACCAAATGCAGCTACTCCTGCCACTCCTCCGCAAGCCCCCCCTGCTGCTGCTGCTGCTGCTGCTGCTGCTGCTGCTGCTGCTGCTGCTGTGGGTGCTACAGCTGCCGCCGATGCTCCGTCCACGCCTGTAACGCCTGCTACAGCCACTGGGACTCCACTTGCTGCTGCTAAGGGCCTGAGTGGTTCGGCTGGCAAGAAGACTGGTCCGGCTGTAGCGGCAGGTGGGGGGGATGGGAAGGGGGAGGGAGGGGGCGATGGGGAAGGCACACCCAGCGCAAAGGGGTTTGTGTTTTATCTCAACATGGACGCTCCAGATGGCTCCCCTGCTGCCGCTGCTGCTGCGGGCGCGAGATCAACGCCTGGGAGTGCTGGTGGTGGTGGGTCGGGGAGAAAAGGGCGTGGAGGGGAGGTGAGTGCAATGGAGGTGGAAGGGGAGAGGAAAGTGGATGGGGAGGGAGACGGGAGAGTCTCGGCTTCTAAGAAGCGGTCACGAGTAGATGAGTGAAATGGCAGTCTGGTTAAGGTGTGCTGATACCCCACTTACTACACCCCACCCTCATTCCCTGCATTTTGAATGCATGGTGGTTGTAAAGTTATGCATCAGTAACGCATGTCTAATGCGTGCTCTCCAAAATGTTAAATAACCACCACATGCACATGGTTAGGAAACCACAAGCACATGAGGGTGCACACACTCACCAACTCAACCACCACCCCTCCCACTCCCACACCTTCCCTCCCCACCTTCGCATGTAAAATGCCAGAAACATAACATTCTGATATCTATCAAGCCATACATAGGTAGCGTTGCGATTCCATAGGTGAATGAGGGCAAGAGGAAATCACCTTGAGAAAGACCATCTACAAGAATATCTATTAGCTGAAAGTTAGCCAGTGATCATTTCGACTCACAGTGGCGGAAAGCAGCGCAGCTTGTAAAGAACAGCACTGATGCGCGAATGGATTTAACGTGGTTCGCGAGTCACGAGTCTCTAAACTTTTCGCGAGCAAAAACCACAACCAAGAGCAGACCCGATTGGTGGTTAGCCACCGTTGCCATATATCCTGCTCTGCTCCTTCTGAAAGGTTCCTTCTTTTGAGCATAAATGCTCAGTCACCATACTCTCTGAAATCTGCTCAGCTTTGAGATCGAGACGTGGGCATTTGCCGTTTCTCGCCTCAGGATCATGCTACCAGGATGAGGGCGTTCTGTATGGGGGACGGCCATGTCCCAGTAAGCTCCCCTTCTTCTCCGCGGTAACACCATGGTCCAGGACGAGTGGAAGCTCCTCTGTGCCGCTGTGAATATGCAGCTGTAATCCTGCGCGTGACGCACTCGATACTATGTGCCGCGACAGATCTTTCAAGAGTCTACGGAGGTGAGCTTTTCTCTTCCTTCGTCGTGTCGTTGTACTCACAGTCTTACTTTTCGATCTCTCATGCGGTGAATCCTCGTCTCCCGCGCGATGCTACTTATTTCCGCCGTTTCCGATGGACCCGCGCTGCACTCGCTGCAGTCAGTCGGTGCGCCGATGACGATGGATTATTCCTGATGGGAGCCGTGCACTCGCCCTTCCTGCCTCTGATTTCTTCCTTTACATCTTATGACCTTGTGATACCTTTTTTCACATCTTATGTTTCACATCTTCTATCTGTGGAGTATTAGTGCTCTCCACGCAGTTATGTCTTTGTGCAACTGGTCACGCCCGTGTGATGAATGCTATATCTGTCCTTGTTGAAGTCTGACTGCCGCTCTAACGGGTTGGCTCTGGCGACAAGAATGCTCCCAACTGATGGCCGTGACTTGTTTCTGCACTTGACTCTTTTTCCATTTCTTTGGTTTTTGGTTCGTCATGCTTTCGTTGTGTGCGGGTCATTCCTAGCCTTGCCTGTGATGAAAGAAACTTGAGTGGTAGGAGCAGCGGTTGCGGGGGTTGCTGCGAAAGCAGCTGAACCTACCCCTGCGCATGCCGTTGTCTCCGATGCCGCATCCTCCGACTGAGGCATCGCTCGTTGTCCCTCATACTGCGTCGCTCTTTGTATCGCAAGTTGATCAGACTACCGTCACTAGGTTTTTATTTGCTCTGTATTTCGATGGCCGCGTACCAGCCTCTCTTGCTTAAGCTACCAGGCTCCGTCGCCAAGAGGGTCCTCATTACAGCTGCGGCCATATCGCACCCCAGTGACTGCTGCATACCCGTTTCGCGCCAGCCTTCCCTGCTGGATGCGAAAGAGCGTTTCACACATTCGCGACACTGGCCATGGCGTCACACTCAATAAGCTTGTCTGCGCTCTTCCTTTCCGTTTGTTACTTCGCAGGCGTTTGTTCTCCGATTTCCACGTACCCTCACCTGCTGAATTGCTGGCGCCAAGGGTTTCGGACTACTCCACCTGGGCTTTCGCTGTAGGGAATCGGAATCGGGAATATTGAAACCACTCTCCACTCTCCGATGGAGATGCGTATTCTTTGACCTGACTGTACATTTTGTGAAAATACTATTATAATTCTGTTGCACAATCATACATTTGTTTAGCCATTAGAACGCCCTACTTCTCCTGAACCTCCAAAAGAAAAAGTCAAAACATGTTCTCCTGACAATGCTTGCAAAACCTGAATGAAGTAACTAGGATAACTAGGGAAAGCCCATAGGTCAGTAATAATCAGACATTCGACGACCCCACCCCAGTACAGGTGATGCTGAACTATATATTGCACAGCAATGAAACCGCATGAGCATAAAATCACCTGCAGATGTACAATCGTGGGATGGGTGACAACTGTTAGATCTACCCCTGGCCGCAGGCAGATGAGCTGCATGCAGCAACAAGAGACAGGCCCAGGAGAAGGCGGCAAAACCCCGAGGCCTGTTCCAAGGTGTATGTCCCCAATTATGGTACATTCATTCATCCACTGCACAATTACCTCCCTGTTCATGGCTTTCTTAGGTCGTATCCCTGGCTGGTGGCAAGAAGTTGGTGGCAAGAAGTTTCCGCACGCGATTGGTCCAAAACAGACGGCCGGCCAATGCGATTGGTCAAGCGTTGTTTTTAACCAATCGCGTGCGCAAACTTCTTGCCACCAACTTCTTGCCACCAGCCAGGGATACGACCTTAGTCTAGTATGCCTCCCTCAGTTCACACCTTGCTCATTTCACGCCTCCCTCAGTTGATGCCTTGTCCAGGTATTGCCTGAGAACCCGTTCCAGAGCGGCCTTGCTGACAGGCTTGGACATGTAGTCTGCAGGGAGTGGGGGGGGTGGGGAGGAGAGTAACAAGGGCAAGGGAGGAGCCATGGGGAGAGATGCCAGAAAAAGGGAGCAGGGACATGCCTGCAGCCATAAGCTCGCAATGTACATCCCACTCCCCCACACACCTGACAACACCATGCCCTCACTTGTCATGCTCTCACCTCTCACACTCTCACCTTTCACACCCTCACCTGTCATTCTCTCACCTCTCACACCCTCACCTCTCACACCCTCACCTCACACCCTCACCTCTCACACCCTCACCTCACACCCTCACCTCTCACACCCTCACCTCACACCCTCACCTCTCACACCCTCACCTGTCATGCCGGCAGCGAGGCACTGCTCCCTGTCGCCCTTGAGTGCGTTGGCCGTCTGGCATGGGTGCACATGTGCAGGGCAGGAGAGGTGGGGCGAGGGGAGGTGAGTGCACGGTGTGATGGCAATGTTGCGAGGGCGTGCAAGGGGAGGATGAAGGATGCGGGCACACAGAGAGAGGAAGGGCGAGTGGTGGTTGTAGTGGGGAGATGAGTTACAAGGAAAACAATGGCAGAAGGATAGGGAAGACGGATGTATGGCCTAGACGAGGGGCATACAGAACAAGGAGAAGCGCAAACACAGAGAAGGAAGGGCTTGTGATTTGAGGGGGTGAGGGATGGGAGAGGGAGGAGGCGGGGGAGGGGGAGAAAGGAAGCACGGGGAGGGAGGTGGGGAGCAGGAGCAGGGTGGGGGGAGGGGAGGGGCTTACAAGGGCGACAATGGTGACGGATGGCTGTGCCTGCTGTGCCTCCAGCTCCCTGATCCTGCGACTGGCTGCCCACCCGTCCATCTCCGGCATCTGCTCATTGCACATGTGCACATGTTTGGGACACACAAGCTTCAATACATGGGCTACTCAAAGCAAGTGCCTCACATGGGCGAGTGCCTCACATGGGCGAGTGGCTCACATGGGCGAGTGCCTCACATGGGCGAGTGCCTCACATGGGCGAGTGCCTCACATGGGCGAGTGCCTCGCATGGGCGAGTGCCTCGCATGGGCGAGTGCCTCGCATGGGCGAGTGCCTCGCATGGGCGAGTGCCTCGCATGGGCGAGTGCCTCGCATGGGCGAGTGCCTCGCATGGGCGAGTGCCTCACATGGGCGAGTGGCTCACATGGGCGAGTGCCTCACATGGGCGAGTGCCTCACAATGAAGAATCACAACACCAGAGTACCAGTCGTGCCAACCAATGTGCAAATCGCATGTGTTTGTGAATGATAGATGCTGACCTGGCAGTCCGTGGTGATGAGGTTGCGGACCTGGCATTTTATGAGATGAGGCAGTCCATGCAGATAAGGTGCTGACCTGGCAGTCCATGAGGATAAGGTGCTGACCTGGCAGTCCATGAGGATGAGGTTGTATTTGTTCTTCTGGAAGAGGCTGACAGCCTCCACGCCATTGTTGGCAATGTCTATGGTCACGCCCAGCTGTGCCAGCATCGACTTTGCCACCTTCTGGTTTATCTGCGAGCGATAGGCACGCAGTGGGGACAGGGGAAGGAGCGAGAGCGGAGAGGAGGAGACTTGTGAGTTGACTCAATGCTCACGCCCAGCTGTGCAAGCATCGACTTTGCCACCTTCTGGTTTATCTGTGAGTGCCAGCGGCGCACGGGGGAAGAAGAGGGAGAGGAGAGGAGGATGAGAGGTGATGAGAGCATGTCGGTGGCAAGGCTTGCACTCACTCGGTGAGAGGCGCTTGGGGCTAGGGAGCCATGCAGCAAAGCGTGTGAGGCGGTTCGGCTCTTGTGTGCCGGGACTGCACTCTAGTCTAGAGTGCCCCTGTACTCACTCACTAACAGCACCCTGTCTGTCACCCTGTCACCCTGCCATCCTGCCTCTCCAATAGCCACTCCCATACCGCCCTCCAACCCACCAGGTTATCTTCTGCCAGCAGGATGCGTCCACTCAGCTTGGGCCCCATGCAAGGTTCAAAATTACGGTTTTCGTAAAATACGGTCCGTTTTATACGGTCGTTTTTTACGGTGATTTTTCAAAAAAACGGTCGTTTTTTTGTTAGAGAACTCTGTTCACCAAGAAAAAAAAGAGAAAAACAAGGCCAAAAACATTTTCAATCATGCCAACAAGCGCATACATGCAAGAAGGGGTCCGTCCCCTTCATGCTGCTGCATTTCGGGTTCAATTTGGTCCCACTAAGTGGCCGTTTTGTTAGTTAAACAGGAAACACCTCCTGGAACCGTTTTAAACCGTTTTTTACGACCGTATTTTACGATACCGTTTTTTACGGTAAATTTTCAAAAAAACGGTCGTTTTTTTTAACCTTGGCCCCATGCTCCTAGCTGCAGGGCGCGGCTGCCGCCTGCCAGGAGTGCAGACCTTGCCCTTGTACTCACTCAACAGCACAGCCCTGCCACCCTGTCTCTCTGCCTTCCACCCTCTCGCCAACCTGTCACCATACCGCCCTGCCACCCACCAGGTTGTCTTCTGCTAGCAGGATGCGTCCACTCAGTTTCGGTCCCATGCTCCTCGCAGCGGGCCGCGGCTGCTGCCTGCTGGGAGTGCAGAACGTTTTCCCATACTTCCTCACTAACTGCGCCCTGCACTCACTCAACTCACAACACCCTGCCACCCTAAATGCCACTCCCATACCGCCCTGCCACCCACCAGGTTATCTTCTGCGAGCAGGATGCGGCCACTCAGCTTCGGCCCCATGCTCCTCGTAGTGGGTCGTGGTTGCGACCTGTAAGGAGTGCAGAGAGTGCCCTCACACTCACATCATACCCCCTGCGTGCCACCCACCAGGTTGTCTTCAGCCAGCAGGATGCGGCCACTCAGCTTCGGCCCCATGCTCCTCGCAGCGGGCCGCGGCTGCTGCCTGCGCCGCCCCGACGACAGGAACAGGCCCTCGCCGCCGGGGGTGCTCTGCATGGCCGATTCCATCGCCTCCAGCAGTGCCTTGGGGCGCACCTGGTGGCACAGGTGCGGAGGGGAGGTGTGACGTGTCAAGGAGGGGAAACGGGAGGAGCGGGAAGTGAGTCTGGAGTCGTGAACAAGGGATGCAACCTAAGGGCGGAGAAAAGGAAACGCATTGCTGCTATGAGTGAGCTACATGCCATGCCGCATGGCGCCCTGCAGTTCTGAAAACACCATTGATCACCCAATTCTCTACTGCATTACCCATGTGCTACCCTGCATGCATACCATGGGCTTATTGAGCATGGCGGGGCAGCGGTCGCGCCAGTAGCGCACGGCCTTGAGCTCGCCCTCTGTCCTCTCCGTCACCTGCGACCGCTTCAGCAGCACCACCACCCCCACGCGCTCCCTCCCCAACAGCTCCAACACCGCCTGTGGGGGGGGAAGAGGGCAAAGGAGGGAGCAAAGAAGCATGAGCCTGAGTGGACACCATGTGCACGCACTCCCTGGGCGATAGACGGAGTGATGGATTACTGGACAGCAGTATTTACGAAGAATGGAAAAACATGACAGCTGATGCCAAACATGACAGCAGCCCATTACAGCCACTCACAGACGACATGGGGTCGATGAGCTGCGGCTTGTTAGAGCAGTCAATCACAATCAAATCATAGTCCTCCGCCAGCCCCTTGCGCGCCGACCCGTCGCGCCACGTGGCGGGCGCCGGTTGGCCGGCTGGCAGGGGCGGCGCGGGCGGCAGAGAGCCGGCAGGGAGCCTCTTGAGGAAGGCCTCTTCTGGCGTGCAGGTGAGGCACGCGTGCGGCACCTTCCATGCCTCCAGCTGCTTCTGCATTGCACACACTGTCACCTGGGAGAGGAGGGGACATTGGGGGGGAAGAGGGACTGTGAGGCAGGGCAGTGGAATGCAAAGGCGGTGGAACGAAGAGGAGTAGCAAGCACAGGGGAAGGTGCGACGGCAAGGCAGCCAATGTTGACTCACCTCGAGTGGGCTGACGAGCAGCACACGAATGGACTGGAACTCCGGAGGCACCGCCAACGGCACTGGCAGCGGGCCCGACGACGACTTTTGAGGCGCCTCGAAAGTCGCAACAACAGAGCACCCCGGGTTTACTCACCTCCAGCGGGCTGACGAGCAGCACACGGATGGACTGGAACTCTGGCGGCACCACCAGCGGCACGGATGGGCAGCAGCTTGCGGGGAATGCAAATGGCCTTTGAGGCGCCTCAAGCACAGGCCCACCTTGCACTCACCTCGAGCGGGCTCACGAGCAGCACGCGGATGGATTGGAACTCAGGCGGCACAACCAGCGGCACGGGCAGCGGACCCGACGACGCATAGGAAGATGTGCCGGCCGCAGCAGGCGACTCGGGGGAGAGCACAGAAGCCGAGTGGCCGGAGTGGGCGGAGGGCGTGGAGGGCGTGGGGAGCGGCGGGTTGAGAGCGGCGACGGCGGCGTAGGCGGGGTGGTGGGTGTTGACGGGCAGGCGCACGGTGAAGGTGGAGCCGCGGCGGAACTCGCTGTGCACTGATATGCGGCCGCCCATCAGCTCCACCAGCTGCTTTGAGATTGCCAGCCCGAGCCCTGTTCCTCCGAACCTTCTCGTTGTTGAGGCGTCCACCTGAGGGAGTGGAGGAGGTGGTTGGGTGAGGCACAGATGGCAGGGAATATAAGAGTCGACTCGCTGTGCACTGAGATGCAGGCCCCCATCAGCTCCACCAGCTGCTTCGAGATTGCGAGGCCGAGTCATGTTTATTTAACCTCCTTGTTGTGGACGCGTCAACCTGGGCAAGGGGGTGTGGCACGGCGTGGGACACGGGGCACAAGGCCCACGGCAGGTCACAGATGGCAGAGCAGGAACAGCATGCATTGTGAGGCAGAATGGCAAGAAGGCCAGGGCCGAGAGTTTGGCTGAGAGAGGGGCTGAAACTTTGCCAGATGAGGTGAGTGAGACCCACCTGGGAGAACTTGGTGAAGAGGCGGCCGATGCGCTCCTTGGGAATGCCAATCCCCGTGTCGCTGACGTGGCACACCCAGTACAGCACGCCCGCCTCCTGTGCCGCTGCCGCCTCCTGCGCCCGTGCCCGTGCGGCCCTCGCCTCCTGCTGCGCGGCCAGCATGGCGGCTCCTATGCTCCCCGATGCCCCATGTGCAGGACTGTTAGTGCCACTGGCATCAGGAGAGTCCCTGAAAGGCGACCCAGCCGCACCACGAGCTGCAGCGGAACCAGAAGCAGCAGCAGCGGCAGCGGAAGAGGTGGAGGTGGAGGAGGGGAGTTGCAGCAGGCACGGCGCGCCAATCTCCGCCTCCAACCGGAACTTCACATACCCCTTCTCCGTAAACTTAATAGCGTTCGACACGAGATTAATCAGCACCTGCAGCGTGCGCCCGGCGTCCCCCACCAGGAACACGGGCGTCTCCGGCTCGATCTCGATCACGATGTCGAGCCCCTTGGACTCGGCGTTGTGGATGAGCAGCTCCGCCACGCGCTCTACCGCCTGCACGACGTTGAAGAGCGTCTGCTCCATGTCCAGCTTGCCGGACTCGATCTTGGAGTAGTCGAGGATGTCGTTGATGATCTGCAGCAGCATGTCGCCCGAGTCTCTGATGGTGAGCACGCGGTCCCGTTGCTCGGGGGTCAAGTGGGTGTCGAGCAGGAGGGCCGTCATTCCCACGACGCCGTTCATGGGGGTGCGGATCTCATGGCTCATTGTGGCCAGGAAATCTGCAGGTGAGAGGGATGGAGGGCGGGGTGTGTTTGATTCGACACAGAGTGCACCTCGCACACATTGGTGGCGTGTGAGTATAAGGCCTGCAACCCCGTTCATGGGCGCATGTGTGGGTCTCGTGGCAAAGGGAGGAAGTGGGGGAGATGAGGGTAAAGGTCGAAGGGCAACACTCCGGGGGGCATCACGAACCTGCTTTGGCGCGCGACACCCTCTCAGCCTCGTCCTTAGCGTCCATCATCGCCTGCTCCGCCACCTTGCGGTCAGTGATGTCAGTGTGCGTGCCCACGAAACGCAGCGGTTCGCCATCGTCCGTCTTGGAGAGCAGCTTGCCGCGGTGCAGGAACCAGCGCCACGACCCGTCCTTGCACCGCAGGCGCTGCTCGTTCACAAACTGCGCCGTCACGCCGTCCAGGTGCTCCTTGAGGTCTGCATACGCGCGGTCCTTGTCCTCCGGGTGGAGCAGCCGCTCCCAGTCGTCTAGCGTTGACCCAATGTCGCCAGGCTCGTAGCTGGGGGGACGTTGTGGAAGGGAGTTGGAAAAGGGTTGGAGAGAGGGTGTGTGGGGGATGAGTCTGAGTCCAGGTGCTCCTTGAGGTCTGCGTACGCGCGGGTCCTTGTCCTCTGGGTGCAAAAGGCTTTCCCAGTCGTCCAGGGAAAGAGGGTAGCGGGGGAAGGGAAGAGAGTTGGAGAGAGGGGTGGGGAAGGGGGGGTGTGTGGGGGATGAGCTTAAGTCAAGGTGCTCCTTGATATCCAGATGCCGCCCAGCATCCCACCATGTGCCGCCCGACACTCATCCCATGCACTCTCCACTCCACTCACCCCAGCATCTGCTTCCAGCGGTCGGAGACGAACATGGTGTTGTCTCGCACGTTCCACAATCTAACCCATGCCCATCCACGCGCCCATGCATGCACCTGTACATGTGCTTATGCACCCTCCACGGCACTCACCCCAGCATCTGCTTCCAGCGATCGGAGAAGAACATGGTGTTGTCTCGCACGTTCCAGTCCCACACTGTTGCTGCACCACCACCATGCTCTAGCCCATGCCCATGCATGTGCCCAAATGTGCTCATACATGCACCCATATATGCGCCTATTCAAGGGCACAAACCACTCACCCGAGCATCTGCTTCCAGCGATCAGAGAAGAACATGGTGTTGTCGCGCACGTTCCAGTCCCACACTCCGTCATCACTGCCCGACAGCGCATACAGCCACCGCTCCTCGCTCTCCTGCTCACATGCACCGCGTGGGCAACAGTGGGGCATGTGGGAATGGTGAGTGACACACAGAGAAGCGGTGCGGGGATGAGGATCTAGGAGGTCCAGTCCAGTCCCACGCGTCACTGCCTGATACTGTGTTCTCTAACGGTCCCCTTTCTCACCTTGAGCTTCTTCTCGGCCTCAAGCCTCCCGGAGATGTCATGTTGTCGCGCAGCACGGCGACATAGGAGACCGTGGCATAGGTGCCCTTGGAGAGGGAGATACTCATACTGTGCCCTCTAACAACCCATTCTTCCTACCTTTCCTTCGTCCCACCCACACACCCGGTACCAGACAGCACCACATAGCGAGCTCTCTGCTGCACTCTTGCTCTCACCTTGAGCTTCTTCTCACCTTGAGCTTCTTCTCCGCCTCGAGCCGTTCTGAGATGTCTCTGAGCACGGCGACATAGAAGACGGTGTCGTAGTTGCCCTTGGACAGGGATACTGTGTGCTCTCTGACAACCCCTTCTCCCTGCCTCAACCTTGCTCTCACCTTGAGCTTCTTCTCCGCCTCGAGCCGTTCTGAGATGTCTCTGAGCACGGCGACATAGAAGACGGTGTCGTAGTTGCCCTTGGAGAGGGAGATCTCGAGGGGGAACGTGCTGCCGTCCGTGCGGAACCCCGTGCCCTTGTGCACCTGCCCTGACGCGTGGTCCAGCCCTGGTGCAGGGAGGATGGGATGGGAGAGAGGGACGGTGAGAAAGTGAGGAGCAACGGGTCAAAGGGCATGACAAGGTCCCAAGCAACGCCACGCCGCTCACCCCTGCAATCACCAAGACATTCCCCCCCCACCCCAACAGTAAGCCCCACTCTTCCCCACAATGAGTGAATCCCAGCAGCAACCTCCCACTCCACCCCACCCCAGCACAACAAAGACACACCTCCAGCAGTGAGCATGTCCCGGTGACCGTCTATCTCCACGAGCAGGTCCTTGAGCTGCAGGTTGGCGGGCGCCGCCACGCCACGCCCTTCCCCACCATGAGTGAACTTAGCAGCACACACCGCCCTCAAGTGTGAGCCTAGTCCCACCCACCAACACATACCCCCAGCCGTGAGCATGTCGCGGTGGCCATCAATCTCCACGAGCAGGTCCTTGAGCTGCAGGTTGGCGGGCGCCGCCACGCCCTCGCGCATGCTGCCCGGCAGGGGCGCGTCCCCCGGCTGTGCAAAGCCAAACATCTGGCGCGCTGACAGGTTCATGGAGGTCACATGCCCGCTGTGCGCCAGGGACATTATGCCCTCCTTCGCAACCTGTGGGGGGAAAGGGGGAGGGTTGCGCAGTGCGGCAAGAGAGAGAATGAGAGAGGGGGGGGGGGGGGGGGGGGGATGGGGAGAGAGGGGGGGAAGGGGGGGGGGGGGGGATGGGGAGGGAGGGAGCGAGAGCAGCGAGTTAGCAAGAGAGAGAGAATGAAGACAGCGCAGAACAGGAGCACTGTGCAGTGCAGGCACAGAGAGGGGCAGGCAGTGGAGGGTGAGAGAGAGCTGACTCCAAGACAGAGCTATGCAATGCAGACAAAACAGCGCTCAGTCAGCACATGTGCCACTCCCTGCCAGTCTCACCTGCACCACACTGGAGAGATGCAGCTCCGCCTCCTTCCTCCTCTTCCGCTCATTCACAGCATAGATCATCTGGGCAATGGTCATGGTGAGCGGCTCAATCTCCCTTTCTCCTCTCCCTATCCCTCACTGTCTCCTATGACTCACCTGCACCACACTCGACAAATGCAGCTCCGCCTCCTTCCTCCGCTTGCGCTCATTCACAGCATAGATCATCTGGGCAATGGTCATGGTGAGCGGCTCGATCTCCTTCACCAGCTGCTCATCGTACCCCGCCGCCCGGTTGGCCACGGCAAAAAAAACACATTGCACGGCCAGCACATGTGCTACTGCCTGTCTCACCTGCACAACACTCGACAAGTGCAGCTCCGCCTCCTTGCGCCTCTTCCGCTCATTCACAGCATAGATCATCTGGGCAATGGTCATGGTGAGCGGCTCAATCTCCTTCACCAGCTGCTCATCGTACCCCGCCGCCCGGTTGGCCACGGCAAAGACGCCGATGAGCTCGGTGCCGGTGTAGAGGGGGATGCCCATGAACTTGTCGATCGGGGGGTGGCCTGGAGGGACTCCTCTCGACCTGGGGTCGTTGCGAGCATCGTTAGTGAGCACCTGGGGGCAGGGCAGGGCAGGGCAGGGCAGGGCAGGGCACAGAATGGGCGGTTTGGAGAGAAAGTAGCCTGCCTTGTGAGCACCACAACTCACCAAAAGCCCAAAGAAGAAAGAAAGAAAAGAGCATGCGTGCCACCTGCTGTCCCCCTATCATGCACCTGTTAGCACCACGGTAACGACGAGCCCCTTGTGGCTGTTCGCCCTTGGCTCCTTGGCTGCTCATATGGTGAACAGCTGCTGCCTTGTCAGCACCACGTGCACCTGCTGCCCTTTTTCACCCACCTGTTGCCCTGTGAGCACCACGGTGCCGTGGAGGGTGTTGAGGTTGGTGAAGACGAGCCCCTTGTGGCTGTTGGCCGCGTACCACGCCCTCAGCTCCTTGCTCCACGCCACGTTCGTCATTGCATGGGTCTGTAGGGGGGTTCGGAAGAGACATTGTGAGTGAACACAGGAACAGAAGAGACGGCAGCATGGACAGCCTGGTGACAGCCTGGTGACAGCCTGGTGACAGCCTGGTGACAGCCTGGTGACAGCCATGACTCGCACCTTGAGGTTGGGTGATGCCGTCGGCCTTGAGCAGAGCGGAGGAGATGAACCCAAACATGGACTCGGTAACCTCCAGCAGTGCGGACAGCATGCAGGCGAGGCACGCACACCCCACACCAGCCCAGCACACACACACCACCCAGCCAGACCTTGAGGCACGGCATGCCAGCACACACACCTTGAGGTAGGGCGTGCCATCGGCCTTGAGCAGCGCGGACGAGATGAACCCGAACATGGACTCGGTCACCTCCAGCAGTGCGGACAGCAGGTAGTCAAACACCAGGCTGCCGTTCGGCTCCTTGTCGATGAAATACACCTGGTGCGCGCGCGTGATGGCCGCCAGCAGCTTCCTCTGCAGCACCTCCGTGTTGCTCATCGTCCGCGCCAGCCCGCCCCCGCCTCTTCCCCCCCCTCCCCCTCCCCCTCCGCCCACCCCCCCCATTTCCAGCCGCGCCCGCACCTCCTGCAGGGCGCTTTCGTCGAAGTTTCTGTTCCCCTGCCCCTTGTAGTCCCCGCCTGGGGCGAGCCTACCGCTGTTCTCCCCACTGCCCTCCCCGTCCCCGCTGCTGCCTCGCAGGTGCGGGCACGCGTCCGGGACCTAGCCCGGCGGTGAAGGTGCTGGTGGTGGTGGTGGAGGCAAGAGGGGAGGCGTCAAAGGAGTGGCGCTTGGAGGAGGGGTTCAGGGGGGACCCGCCCCCATGACTGCGCGCATCCACCGCCCCCCTCTGCACATCCCCTCCGCCCCCGCCCCCCACCCCCTGCTGCCGCTGCCAGGAAGGTGCGGAGAACCTTCCACTGCCGTCAGAGTGGAGAGGGGAGGAGGCGGGTTGGCCGGCGCTGCTGGGGGGGCTGATACCGCAGCGCTGCAGCAGGGCCATGGCTACAGGGTGGTCGGTGAAATCGTCCCTGGGGCTGCCACAGCGGCGGCAGCGCCACGTGGACTCCACCCACCCCTTGAACGCCGCCCACTCCTCCTCCTTCATCCCCCCCAGCACCTCCCACGGCCGTACCGCCGAGCCTGCCTCGCTGGCTTGGCGCCAGGGTTCCGAAGCTGCGCCCGAGGCTGTGCCGTGCGGCGTGGGGACGCCCTGCGAGGGGTAGTAGTCGCGGGAGGCGGGGTACGCGCCTCGCCCCATGCCGTCGTCCTGCTGCGCCTTCGCCTGCGCTCCCCCCGCGCCCGCGGCAGGCACCCGCGCGTCCCTGGGCGGCGTTGCTCCCCCGACTGCCCCAATCATCGCCCCCCCAACCAATGCGCTCACGTTAACCCCCCCCATTGGGCTCGTTCCCCCCGGGCCCGCTCCGCCCATGCCCTCCTGCGCTCTGCCCCGCTCCCCGCTTCTCCGCCCTGTGGCGGACGCGGCGAAGCCTCCGCCCGTCCAATGGGGAGCCTGCATGAGCGGCTGAGAGAACGGCGCCTGCTGCTGCGGAGGCGGCGACGGCTGCGCTTGCGGTCGCTGCGCAAACTGCTGCTGCTGCCGCTGTTGCTGCTCCTCGCGCGCTCCCCCCTGCACCTCCCCCTGCTGCACCCCCGCGCCCATCGGCTTCGGGGAAAGTTGCGCGGGCGACGCCAGCGACTGCTGCAACGCCTGCGGCGATCGTTGCGCCGCTTCCAGCGGCTCCCGCTCCCGCCGCCCGTCCCACGACGCGGGCTCTGCTCCTGCTCCCGGATGTGCCTCCGCCGCTTGCGCTCCCCCCGGAGAGGACGACTCCGCCTCTCCGCCTTTTTGCCGCCGCGCCTTGCTGAGATTGCGCTGGGAGTTGGATTGAGTCAGCGAGTCGCCTTTTTTGCCGAATAGGTTGTTCCAACCCATGATGCCCAGGAGTGAAGGTGGTTACAGAGTCGGTTCGGAGAGATGCTGTGGGGGGTGTGGTGTGTGACGGCCGGTATACGATGGCTGCTGAGACGACACGAGACGGAGACGAGAAGGCGAGTCGGAAAACAAAATGGCAAGTGCAGTTGCGTTAGGTGTGAGTTAAGGTAGCCATTCTATCAAAAGACCAGTTTTACTGTAAGGATATACGCGAGAATAAACACTTATGTTTGTTTTGCCGAAGCGTTAACCTACATCATGCGCTAAGCCGCAGGGTGTTTTGGCAGAATGCGACACGAGGACGGAAAGCCCTGAGCAATGCAGCATGGAGCGTCGTGGAATTAAGTAAACGACGTTCAGACGATTCGAAGACCGAGTTTCGACACTCCAATATTAGAAACATTTAACCTAAGCGGCGCGCTAGGCCAATAAATGGAACAACCTAGCCCAAGCACCCGCCGCGTACGGAGCAAATGAATCGACCAGCATCCACTGCCAAATGATTGGCTTGTGGTGGCGGACAGGACGACAGCTCTCACGCGCGACAATACCTCAGCAGGCGCAGCCGCCGAGTGGGTAAAGGAGCAGTTGGTTGGTAGCCTTGGCTTCAGGTGCCTCTGTTCTGTTGCCTTGGCTGTTTGGTGGGTCGAGTCGACGAAAGATTTGCGAAAACGGATGTAACGCGACAGTGCCCGCGAAAGGAGAAAGTGGGGTTGTGTCAGGCGTGCGCTGTGGCGGTCACGTGGGCGGCATAGTTTGGTTTGGACTCCATACCAGACTGCCACGACAGTCTGACAAATATCTACCCAACATCTAGGTTTTCCAATCAGAGGTACAGTGCGGTACGGAGGTTTCTACCAGCTCTAGAACTAAAACCAGATACGGTACTAAACCAGCCTATTTCGTGCTTACTCTTCTGAAAGGCTCAAGCTGAACCAGACAACTACGGTTTAAAATGCATATTTATCAATACTGTTTCAAGCACAGCCATGCAGCTTGACTGACGCCACTCATCCAACCTCCAATAACCACATCATTGCTCACTGCCCCCTTTTCTTGCAGTCATCAAGATCCGGTGCAGCTCCTTGGCCTCTGCAAGAGCCCCTTTCTTGCAAGCCAGCTTCGCAATCGGAAACAGCGCCCCATCATTCAGCAGCACCGCAGGCGCCACAACCCCTGTGGTAACCAGATGGTGCAGCGTCCACAGCGCCTCCTCCCGCGCCCTCTCAGACTCACTCTCCAGCACATCCGATATCACAAGGGTCCCTTCCACTGCCAACAGCGCCTCTTGCCCGCCACGTGTCCTCGCAAGATTGGCCAGCACAGCCATGGCTTTCTCCTCAACCCCTGGCCTCTTATCCCCCAGAAGATCCACTAGAATGCTCACAGCGCCTTCCCTCACGATCTCATTCGCACACGACAGGTCCTGCGAGAGGGAGAAGAGGGCAAGCCCTGCGTCTTTTCTGCACCTTGCGGTCTCATTCGTGAGCAAGCGGACAAGCGAGGGGATGGCTCCTGCAGCTTGGATCTTAGTCTTGTGAATGTTCCTACTCGGGCCAGCACCGTTCCCATTCCTGCTGGCATTCGCAGATTCGTCCATCACGTCGTCCCACGAGGAAAGCGCAAACAGCGCCGCGGCTGCATTCCCCTTCACCATGCTCGAAATGCCTGACGTCCCCCCTGCTGACGCTCCTGCTCCTGCCCCCGCTCCTGCCGTGCCGGCTGGCCCGGTGTGAGAGAGCACATCCACAAGGGACGGCACGCCACCCACATCGATGAACTCGGCTGCGCCATCGCGTGACTGGCACAGCTGCAGCACCACGGCCACTGCACAGTCCACCACCAGCGCAGGATCCATCACTCCCCGCCCCCGCCCCTCCCGCCCTGCCGCCCTCCCTCCCCCTCCGCCCAGAGCAGCAACGGCCTCATCGAGAAAGTCGAGAAGGATGGGCACCCCGTCTTCTCGCTCCAGCAGCCGCTGCCTGTTCTCACAGCTCTCCTTCACTGCTGCTCTCAGCTGCACCACCGCTTCCACCCGCTGCTCTGCTGTCCCTCGATCCATCGCCTCAACCATCCCATCAACGGTTGTCATTGCACGAGGCGGAGGTACCTGCGATCCCTGCTGCTGCCCTGCATGTCCGTGCTGCTTGCTGCATCACCTGCTGAACCTGAGGGGACAGGGGGGGGAGGGCGGCGCCTGTGCTACTGCCCCCACTGCTTCCTCTAGAGAGCCTGTGCCTAGGTGAGCTCGCAGTTATCGACGATCCCCTAGGAATTCCAGCTCCTGCCAGCATTTCAGCTGCTCCCGCCGCCCCTGCCGCCGCCCCGCCACTGCCCCCCCTGCCATGGCCCCCGCTTGCCTGCTCCTGCGGCGACCACAGTCCACCGCCCGCCCCTTCCCGCGCGGAAACCCTAACTCCTCCCGCCCCTGACGTCCCCCCGCCTGCGCGCGGTGGCAGCTGCGGGGAGGCCACGGCTTCAGGATTGACAAGCGGACCCGTGAGCTGCCCTGAGGCTTGTAACGGGGACAGTCTGCGCTGTCTGCGTGCTGCTAACGAGCCAGCCCCGCTGGAGGACGGGCGCGGCTCTCTGCCCGGATGCGGGCCTGCTCCCGCCACCGGGGAACGCTGCTCGGTCGTACACCACCGCTCCAGCCAAGACAGACGGGTCTAGCCGGCCGGCAGCCAGAGGGTCATTGCTGCCGTCCCAGCTCATAGTGCGCCGGCGGTCAGGCCGCAAATGGGGCGCCGCAACGGGCCCTTTCTTCCGCTCCAGCGAATGCGCTCCCCCTACCGGCGCAGTTCCCGCTCGTGACATGCATGGGGCTCCTGAGTCCATACCTGCTGTTCGTACGCCTGCTGCACTTAAACCCAACCCTGCAGCCCTTCCCCCCGAGGAAGCAAATCCATCCGATACCGAAAGCAGCCCCCCCGCCGGGACGGGATGCGCCTGAACCCTCGTGTGCGCCGTCCCTCGAGCCGGCGACGGTCATTCTCGACGGCGGCTGGTGTTCGTGACTGCGCCGCCGCTGCGCGTCTGTTTCTCGACCGCCAGGAGCCTCGCGCTCCCGCGCGGACAGTGTCGAAAGGGCATGCCTCCGGCTGCGCACGGCCATCTCGCTTCCGCTGCTCCCCGCGCCATCATCGCTGTTCCGCGGCCCCTCGCGCGCACCAGAGGAGCGGAGCGCACTGGCGGAATTGAGGCTCCCGAAGAACGCGGAATCTGCTGCGGAGCGAGTTCTGCGATGGCCTTTCGCGTGACCTGATTGGTCGGCTTGCTCCTGCGGTAGTGATAACATATGTCGGACGTCTTGATTGGTTGCCGCCTGCCGACTGACGGCCCGTTTCTGGCCGGCCGATAACTTAACGTTGTGCTTGGCGCACCACTCCATAATCAACGCCTTGAGAGCGACATTTGGAAAGTACTCGGTGTGGCGGACTTTTTCTCCTGACCGCGGGCAGGTCATGTGACCGGCGTCGAACCAGGCTTGAATGTACTCGCGCTCGTACGTCAATCCCGAGGCAATAATAACGGGCTCCGCCATAACACGATCCGATAAAGGGCAGATGAACTCGAGAGGGACCTCCAAGTCGGCATCTTCTCCTCGCGACATCGCGATGGGATTAACCTGAACCGGTCTGTCAAAGAGAGATAGCGAGTGAGGTCTCAACGACAGCGACAGTCTCTAGTAAACCATCCATATATGAGATTACAGGTTATAAAATTTCCAGCATTGGACGACAGAACTACTTCATTGACTAAACGGAGTCTGATGCGCTGAGAGTGGGCTGGGAGGAGGCGAAGTGTGGAGAGGAGACTAGGGCGAAGGTGGGCCGTTGAGGAAGGGCGGCGGTGAATGCCGTGTCAAGGTAATCCCGAGGCGAGTTCACTTGTGTCGTGACAAAGCAGGACACAGGGCTCAAAGTTGGCGACATGAAGTGTTCAGCTAACCGCGCCCTGGACAGATGCCAGGATCTTCCCGATTTTTTTATCTCCCGAAATCAGAAGGGATTGGGGCGATTGGGAAACATGCCGAGAGAGCACAAGAAAACGAATTTTGCCGAGTGTTTCGCCCATGCTTGGCGATATTTAGCTGGCATGGCAACCAGAGGTTCGCGTGACGACGAGCCTAAGGGTTGGGTCAGGCTGTAGGTCAGCCACGGCCCTCATAAATTCGCGGGAGGTCCGACAAGCCTGGGGATTTCGGGCAACCTGCAAGCCCGCGTTTTCATTCATCGAGGGGTTGGGGGGGAGGGGAGGGATCCCTCCCCCCTTCCCCCTGCAGCAGATGGCGGTGCAATCCGCCAGCTGTTCTGCTCAGTGCCAGCCTCGTTAAAGGGAAACACTAATTACATTAGTGTACTGAACACCAAATATACTCCCGCTACATACACAACTGGCTGCCCGCCATCCACTAGTCATTTCCGCATCATCGTTCTAGAACAGAGGGTGGATGTGATTGGTGGAAGAATCTTACCAAGGATCATGTATGTGCAGTGCAGGACACCAGCATTCACGAACATGCACGCGCACTAGCAATGTGTTTCGACGATGTCTCGTTGCTTCCGACCTGACCTGGTCTCCTCAAGTAGCCTAGCAGCTCTTCCCAAGGCAGCTCGTATCGAAGCAGCGTCTTATCCTTGAGTAAATTCGTTAAGTTATACCATCCGTAAAAAACGCCACGTCAGCAGTTATGTACAAGCCACGTGTCAAAGCGCACAAGTCCAAACATCTCCATCACTCCGACGGCGCGAGGGGATGGCCCCCGGAAGAGGCCGAGATGTCCGCCGCCACCCACTCCAGCGGAGAATGGAGCGGAACTGCGGAGGCCGTCGGCGCTGGAGAAGCTGTAGGCGGAATGGCGGCGGGCGGAATGGGCGCGGGCGGAATGCCGGTGAGCAGCCCGGACATTCTGGGGAAAGGGTGCTTCAGCTGGCGCGGCGTGTTTCACAAGGACCACGGCGCGCGCGTGCTTAAATTAGAAGGCGGCGGTGTAGCGGAGGTGCTTGTAGTGGATCCTGGGCGTAGAGACGACGAGGTGAGAACGCATCATGGGTATGCTATGGCGGGTTTCAGTGGAGCGGGAGAGCATGCGGGGATGGCGGGCGCGCACGGACAGGGGGAGGACGTGGGGGCATACGAGCGTGGCAGTGATAGGGTTGGGGGGAGAGGTGAGTTAATGGCAGGGGCGGGGAGGGAGCAGGAGAGGGCGTTAGGGGTGGAGGAGCGAGGTTGTGTCGGTATCGTGTCTTCTGCTGCGGCTGTCGTGGCGACTGATGAAACGCATGACCTCTCAGTGCGTACGGACGACACGGTTTCATCCGACGTAGCGACGGTCGGCAGCGTTTCATCTGCACGCCTGAACGCTGACGGCGTTTCATCCAGGCGTGCGGCCGCAGCGGACGGAGCAGGCGCGTGGGACCCAGCTTTAGGTTCAATGCGAGGCGATCCCACAAGTGCATCACATGGGATCAATGCGAATGAGGGAGGTGTGGGCGAGGGGGGCAGGGGCGAAGCAGCGCGTGGGAGTGTGGAGAGTGACTCGCTAGCCAATGGGGATGTAGCGGCAGGGAGCACTGGTGTTGTCACTGGCATCAGTGGGTATTCTGCTCTCGCCACCACTGCGCGCACTCAGGTGCTCCCTGTCCCTGTGGATCCCTCCCTCACTTGCCCTCCCTACCCTCCCTCACTGCCTACTCACCCTGACGCAACCGCCTCTTCCCCTTCCGCCCTCACCTCCCCTCCCCTCCCCTCTTCGCCACCCCTCTCCGCTGCTCCTCCCACGGACGCCACCCCCTTGGGCCCTCTCCCCACCATCACTCCCTCCGCCACCGCCCTTTCCCTCCCCACCCTTTCCGCCCCCAAACCATCCGCGGCCCCCCCTCGCCCCCACACCGCCGCAGCATCCTCCCTCCCCCGCCCGCCCCACGCCCTCCCCCCCACCCCCGCCAGCAGGGAAGGGGGGCACCAGAGGGGAGCGAGAGGGGGGGTGAGCAGGGAGGGGCGGGGGGGGACGGCGGGGGCGGGCAGCGGGCGCAGTGGGGGGTCGAGCGGGGGGAGGTGGAGTGGGGGAGGCGGGGGAGCGGGGGGAGCGGGGTTCCATGCGCGCAAGCTGTCAACAGACGACAGCTTCCTGGGTCTTTCCTCCCGCAGCCCCCTCGACACCTCCGCCTGCACTGCTAGAACGCCCCGCCTCTCCCCCCACCCACCCGCTGCTGTTACTGCTGCTGCCACCGCCGCTGCCGCCGCTGTTGCTGCTGCTGCTGTCGGTGGTGGTGGTGCAGCAGATGGTACTGGCAGCATTACAGCCCCATCTGCTCCAACATTCAACCCCAGCCTGCCCCCAGCCACCCCACCCACCACTGCCTTCCCCCCGCCCCCCTACCCCACCACCCCCCTCACCCTCACCTCCCCCTCGTTCCCCCTCGTCCACTCAGACACTGCCACGTCACCCAGCATCATCCACAAGTCGCCGTCCACGCCGTCCGTCTCCACCGACGATGAGCTGGCGCCGCTGCCCGGCCTTGGGATTGCCGGGGCAGGGACAAGAGCGGGACTGGACGGGGGAGTGATGGGCGGAGTGATGGGAGGGGGGGCAGCGGAGAGGGGAGCTCTGGGGGAAGGGGAGGGGATGGGGGGAGGAGGGGCGGGGATGGGGCAGTACGGGGGCATGCATATCCCCAGGAATGAGAGTGTGGGCAGCAGCAGCGGGTCAGTGGCAGCAGGGGATGGGCTGGTGGGCGTGCCAAGGCCGAGCACGCTCAAGACGTGGAAGTCCATGCACGCCCACCGCCATAAACTCGCCCGTGGCCTGCTCTTCGCTGGTATGCCGCACCGTAAACCGCATCTCTAAAATTGTATACATATGTGCACCACGTGCTGCCTACATGGCTCGCACTGGTGGGCGTACGGATTGCGTTGACTCAAACCAATTGTCTTTCCGACCGAATGACTCAAACCGTTCTCCCGACCTCCGTCGCCCCTCCCAACCCCTGCCGCACCAACCTTCACTCTTCTTTTCCTTTGCTCTCTTCCCCAATGCAACACCTCCCGTCCACCACCCCCTCCTACCTGGGTGACATGGTGGCAGCAGGAGAGAGTGGGGAGGAGGGCGGGATGAGCCCCAGGGGCCTGGCGTTCATGGCAGGCGCCCGGCGCCGAGGGCTGTGGCGCCGCACTGTCACGCCCAAGGAGTGTGAGTGGGGGGGAATGTGATGCGGTTGAGAGGGGTGCACTGTGGTTCCGGATTATGCGCCCAAGGAGTGTGAGTGCTGGGGTTTGTAAAGCGGTTGAGCTGGGACGTGTGGGGAAGGGAGCGAGGGCTGTCTGATCAAGATGAGTGCGCTCTTCTCCGCACCTGCCACCTGCTCACCACATCCCCTGCTTCTCTCGTCTCTCCTCCCCCATTTGCTCATTCTCTTTTCTCCCTCCCTGAGTCTGCGCCCTGCACTCACACTCCCCACCCCCACCTCCCCCCCGTCTGTCCCTCCACCAATCCTGTCCAACACACCTTTTCCTTGCCACGACACCTTCCTGCTCCCCTCCTCAGCTGTCAAGCGCCTGCTCATGTGGCCCCAGGCGGGTTCTCAGGTGTCCCGCTGCGCCCCAGGTGATTCCTCTGCTGAAAACTCCTGGTCGCCCGTGGACCCTGCGTCCTTCGACGTGCGCGGAGAAACTTTTCTATCTGACCGCCGCAAGGTGCCCGCCTGCCCGCCGGCTATTTACGAGCCGTGGGGCGTGGACGTGTTTCACACACCACTCAAAATCCGCCACGTGGCAGAGCATGTGGAGCTGCCTGCTTGCCTCTTTGGGAGGGGCGGTGGGGGGGGGAGTGGGGAGGTGCGGCAGGAGGGGGCGGAAGGGGGGGAGAGAGGGCAAGGGGAGGCGGATGGTTGCTTGGATGGTGTGTGTGCGGAGGTCTATGGGGTGGGAGAAGAGGGAGAAGGGGGAGAGGAAGGAGAAGGAGGAGACGGAGAATGGGCAGAAGGGTGGGTGCTGCCAGAGGTGCTGGTGGTGAACCTGCAGGTACCGCTCTACACCACTCTGCCGCTGCTACAGCAGGAGCAGGACGGCGAGGGAATCAGCCTGGTGCTCTACCTGAAGCTCAGCCCTGCTTATGCGCGTGGTGTTCCACCGTGCCTCGCTGCCATGCTGGAGGTGAGCCAAGTCACTTTGTGAGGCGTCCGTGATTACGTGCCGCCCTGATCCTCCTCATGTGCTATTTGCTGCCGCGTGTCCCCCTTCATGCAGCAATGTTACCTCTCAATTACACCATCGCGTACGCCACCCTCCCATCAC